ATTTGAATTGGTTATAAACATTTAAAAACCAAATTTTCAGAAAAATCTACTGTTTTGGCTTCTCTTAAAAAGCAATCATATTTGGTAACACTGAGCCCACACAGTATTAGGGCATCAACATGCTGGAGCTGAAGGGGCCAAACAGGCTCTTATTTGCCAGTTTTCACCACTCCCAATTGCATTACACTCACTGGCTTCAACTCCTTTTTATATGCCTAGCTGACATCTGTCTAGTGATCACCTCTGTTTTAAGCAGAGCTTTCCAAGTATTTCCTCCGAAGGACCCTTAAGATTAGGGAAAGTGAATCATTTTCCCCAGGACTTCCTGAGAAGTCCAAAGCAGTCTGTCACAAGTCAGAAATGTCTTTGCAATATGTAATACAGGTTTAAAAAATGGAAATTTTTATTTACACTTTATATTTACCTAGTTTTAGTATTAAAAAAATTATCTCCCCACCAAATCTTAAAGGTAAAATTGAGCCCTGATTGTTGCGCCTCATCCTGCAAACTGAAAGGCTGTTGGTTCAATTCCTGGTCAGGGAACATGTCTGGGTTGTGGTCCAGGTCCCTGGTCAGGGTTGTGCAAGAGGCAACCGATCAATGTTCTTCTCATACATTGATATTTCTCTCCTTCTCTTTCTCCCTCCCTTGCCCTCTCTCTAAGAACAAATAAATAAAATATTTTTTATAAACAGTAAAATTGACACTCTGGAAGATGTGCCATGTGTATTATGTGGCTCCAAACACTCCTCACTACATCTCCCATGAATAACCCAATTTAAGCAGCATGATGCAAAAGACATGAAGCAAAGAGAGACATGGGAAGAAAGGCTTGGAGACAGGAAAAGAATCTCAATGACAACAAGAACAAGATGAGTCTGAAAGACAAGCTCTTTCTCTAGTCCTAAGTCATCCCTCCTGACCTGGCCCAGGCCAGTTCCCGAGAAGTTTGTAGACATTTCTGATATCTCTGGACAGGTGTTAGAGTGGTGGCTCAGAGTGAAAAGCAAGTTTCAAAACAGAAACCAGGCCAAGTAAGGGAGAGGTGAGCAGTCAAGAGCAGCCAAGTGTGGTCAGACAGGAAAGAATGTCCAGGAGCCAGGGAAGAGGCTCGGGGACAGAGAGCTGAAGGCTATGGAAAGGAGTGGTCAGCATTTGCCCTCTCTCCTAGTGAGCCCATCTTTGTTTCACTTGTTCTTACCACCCCAGCTTGAGAAAAAAAATGAGGTAAAAAAAATTATTTTAAACAACTTAGATGAGGGTTTTTTTTTTTTTTTTCCTCCAGAATGGTTGTACCTCTGGCCATAGCAGAACATAGAAGAATGAGTACCAGGATTTGTTTCCCTGTCCAAATGAGATTGTATCTATTCGCTCCAAGATAGAAAATACCCCAGATCAGTGTCCCAGACTTAGGTGAGTTCATTTCCTCCACCGCTTTAGTAGGACAAAGACAGGTTTAACTAATCTCCCTCCTATTATAATACTAGCTATCAATGCTGCCTTATGTGTAACAAATAATGTTAGAGGCAGGACTTGAATATTTTCTCCCTTGTCCATTGTACACCAGGAGAAATGGAATCACAGGATGAGGAAAATTCAGGAAGGCAGGGGCACTGGCTTTGGGAAGTCCAGCCCACAGCTGAGGATCCTGGAGGAGAGGAGGTTTGAGAATGAAGAATAGTCCCAAACTCAGAGGTCATAGGGACACAGGCTTCTCTGCATTGGTCAAGACTGAGTCTGAGGAATCCCTGGATTCCACCCTCCAAAGTCTTGGGTTCCCAAGGTGATGCACTTAACATCTGTTAGGGTAGGATCATTGTCTTCCCAATGACTCTCATTATGGTTGCAGGGGAAACCTCCATTCCCTCCAAGATACAAAATGGCAAATTGGGGATAAGGCAAGGGTGATACTAGGAAGTTAGAATTTATTTCTAGCTTTCTGGTCGCAAGTAACGTTGTGGGCGAAAGTGAGCCTCACTAGGAGAAATGTTAATGGAGAAGGGGTCTGGCCAGATTAGCTAACTGAGCTACAGCCTTCCTCTCCATCTCATTTCTCTCCTCTATCCTCTAGCTAGACATAATATATAAGGGAGGATAGAAAGGATGTCACCACTGGCTCCTTCCTCAGAACATTTCTTGGGCCTGCTTCATTTGATTTCTGGCTTGCAGATCATGACCTTTAACTCTGCTGCAGGGGTTCTCTCCTTCCTTGCTAGTTGATGGAATTGCTGATCTTCCTGCTATTCAAGTCAAAGCAGGTACTTGGAAAAGACTCATTAGACGCCTGAGTTATCTTTAGCTTACCCAAGCTGAAAATAAGATGGGGAAGTCCAGCAGATGGAATGAGTTCAGCAAAAGCTGGACATGTCCTGACCTTTGTTCTCAGAACCATTTGGGTTCCTGCGGGTGGAGCAACATGAGCTTGATGGATTCCTGGCAGACATTCTAATCCAAACTTGTTTCACAGATGAGGAATTTAGGCTTGGAGACTTGACATAACTTTTCCAAGGACACAAAACTATGGAGTAGTGAAACTAGGACCATAAACCAGTGCTTTGCCCAGTTGAGATGACAGCCCTTCCCTTTGGCTTAGTTCTTAACCAGCCTATGCCTACAAGCCACCCTGCCTTCCTTTCAAATTTCAAACAGCAGTAAAAATGAATTGAGGAAAATAATGATCTTTTCCTAACCAAAGCAAGCATGGTCTGCCCATCTGACATTTGACCCTCCAATTTTCTTTGGTCTCCACTGCTGATCTTCTAAACCACATGTTTCATCCAGGTATCCCATTCAGCTCTCCCTCAAGCCACTTAAATTCGCCGATTCAATTTGCAGACTCCACTTTCAAGCTTTCTGGCCAAGCTGGGAGGGAACCAGGAGGCTAGGAACACAGGGTGGGAAAAGATAGGATTCCTGCCAGAAAACCTACCTTGGCTGGGCCAGTGCAGCCCAGGCTGTGGCCATGGGGAGCAATCCATTCAACATAAGCAAGCCTTAGCAGGCAGATGTACAGGGCTGAGCAAGTGCTGCATGGCTCTTCTCTAAATGTTTGTAAGCAGGGCCTCAACCTCTAGCCTTTCTCTGGGGCCTCCAGAGGAATAGCAGCCCTGACTGTTTACTGGGCTTAGGTGTCAACTTCAGGCCCCCTGATAGAGCCTATGAAAAGTGGGGTAGAGGTCAGTGGAAACAGTCTATCTCATGCATGGAACTGCTCCAGAATCTGGGGCAGTTTCTGGTTCCCATGTCTCTGGCTTTGTTCAGCAAGGTCATCTGCCAGGAGAGGCAGGAAGCCAGACAGGAAAGAGTCCAAGAATGGTCTGATCTTTCCGATACTTTGTCTTTGAGGCAGTATAACTGATCCCAAGTGGTCCCTCTAACCTTTGTCCTCCTTTCCTCCATTTCATGAGCAAAGGATGTGTGTGTGTGTAGAGGTGTGGGGGCAGGGATGTGTTACTCTCCTTCTCCACTGCCTCTTGTTTACAATCTTCTTTGTTCCCATTCCTTTAAGTTCCCAGGCTGGTATTAAATGGGACTTAGGGGATTGTCTGTGAATCCCAACAAAGACAGATATATAGCTGACCAGGTTAGGATTATATGTGTGTGTATGTAGGGGAGAAGAGCAAAAGGAGATTTTTCAGTGTTTCAGTGTCTTTTAGATTTTTCTTGCTGATTTCTCCCTAGCCATATCACAGGCTATAGTGTGACAGGTTCTCTCCATTCCCACTCCACTCACAACACTTCCAAGAGCTAGAAAAAGGAAACACATCAATCATAACAAATTGCTTAATAACTCTGGAATGTTCTGTTTCTATTCTGGATTCCTCCTCTGTTCTCTTGGCTATTTCTACCCTAACACTTACTACTGTACCCATTCCAGGCTTTTAAGGGGCTTTCTCTCAATGGAATCACAGCCCCTATTCATTCTTTACAATGGGTCATAGATATCTAGCATTAGATTTCTGTCACTTGATGCTGTAGAGAATTCAGTCAACCAGCCTGAATATGGTTGGGGAATTCCTTGAAGCCTTTCCTGCATCCCATCTTTATGGCTTTCAAATGTTCTGTAGGGTTGCTATCTGTGCCTGCCTCCTTATTTAGCCCTTTGGACATGCAGCTAGCCTGTGACTGCTGCATGACAAGTGGCTGGAACCAATCAGCTCTTCTAGAGCTTCCTCAGAAGCCAATCAGAACATAGGGAAGTGATCTCACCCAAGAGAGAGCTATGTGGCTGAGACAGCATCTCTCAGAGCTGTGAGTGTCCCTAAGTCATTCTCTTCCTCCGCACCCTCCTTACTTCCCATAAAGCAACACCGCCTGCCCCTTTTCCCCAAAAGACAGAAGAGAGAAAGGCTAACTAAATTCCACAAAGAACCAAAAGAGAAACTGCAACTCAAACACACAGTGGCTTCTGGAAGTGGACAATAGAATACACAGGGGGCTTCACCTGCGCAGACATATTTTTCAAAGTGAGGTCTCCAGGGCCTGGAAGAAGGTGACTGTGCTGAAGAAGAATCAGCACCTCCTCCCTATTTCCTCCCCACACCTGACTTTCTTGATTCTCCCCACAAAAATAGCTGCAACCAATCTTTGTAAACAAGGACAAGATGAAGGTCAAGTGTGAGAAAGGGCCTGTGTTCCTGTGAACACCTGTGAACGGGCACAATCCTGTCCCTGTGGCCTGAGGACCAGAGGCTTAGAAGTCAGCTGATCTTTAGGGTGTGAGCTATTCTTTCTACTACTCATTCTGCACAGCCCTGCAGATGAGTTTCCTGAATGTTCTTGGGCAGGGCTAGATTTGGAGCATGTGTCCCACCATTGTGGTGGGAGGGAAGGGGCAAAGGATAGGAAGGCTGTAACCCCCAGGGTGTCACACTGGACTCTGACAGGTAAGAAGAGAATGACTCAGCTAAGCATCCCCTTCATTTCTCCAGCCCTCTCCCATTAGGCCTCTCACCCTGAACAGACAGATAAAAAAAACCTTTTATTTAAAAATATAAAACTGGCCTTACTCCTCTTAACTGCTCCCACCCCCAATTATCTCCACAAAGAATTATAAAAAATGGGTAAGGGCATATGTACAGCTGTCTCAGACCCAACAATTCCAGTTTTTCTTTCAGCCCTCCTTTCTCCCTTTAATACAATTAAGACATTGGTCCTCTGCTCTTTCCCCATGATATCAGAAATGATACAATGGTAGAGGGAGGGGAAAGTTAGAAAAGAGAGGTGTCTATTGTTATTTTCCACATCTATTTCCAGGGACTAAACAGGTTATCTGGACTCAGAGCAAACAGTCTCCTTGTCCACAAAACCAAACGATAGAGACGGTTACTTTCTGTATCCTAAATTAGAAAGATGAAGATCCAGGGTGCTATTTAGGGTCCTTTTTCAGTATATAGCCTCATCCATATTGTCATCACTGTCACCCGCAAAGTCCTCTCCATTGTCAAAATATGACACGATGTAATCAGTTTCCTGGAATAGAAAATAGAAGTCAGGTATGCTTTTGGCATTCTCCTTCCTCCCAGTGTACCACATCCCTTCTCTCCCAATAGCACCATTCTAGCCCTAGATATCTCTTCCAGTTGTAGTTTACTATTTATTTATTTTTTTTAAGTTTTTATTTATTGATTTTAGAGAGAGGAAGGGAGAAACATCGATTTTTTTGTTCCACTCATCTCTGCATTCATTGGTTGATTCTTGTATGTGCCCTGACCCAGCTGCAACCTTGGCATGTTGGGATGATGCTCTAACCAACTGAACTACACAGCCAAGGCTAGTTGTAGTTTGCTCTTTAGAAGAGCCTAAAGACAGATAAAGTGGAGAGCACTATCCTTTGGAGGCACTATCGCCTTTGGCCCCCCAACCCTCTGGAGAGAATATCTCTGGTGAACAGAGTTGAGATCTCCAGAGCTAACAAGGGCAAGAGAGAGGAACTGTGGGTGGAAGGAAGTCCCCTTCACCTCTTCATGTTCTTCTTCATCATACTCCTCTTCTTCTCCCTCTTCCTTCTCTTCTTCTTCTTTCTCTTCATCTTCATCTGAAGTTAATTCTTCCTCTTTCTTCTCCAGGGTCTTATGTTAAGAAGAATAGGAAGACAGATGCAGCTCACAGAAGGGAAAAATTAAGGTATACATGGGCCAAGGAGGAGGGAATGGATCTAGGGCCAGGTGGTCCCTATGCACATTTCCTCTTACCTCTAGTTTCTGTATTGTTTCCTCCTTATAGTCTGTGGCCTTAGGGAGCCTCTTGGGGAGTAGAATGGTGGTCCCTGGTGAGAGGATCAAAAAGTAAACCATCAGAGAGCAAACTTCCTTGTTAGCCTTCTACCCACCTTCCTGCAGAGACTATGTCACTCTGCTGCCCTCATGTGGCCACTAAGGCACCCAGCAACAATACTGGGTGCTTTGGGTAGGAATTGGGAGGGCAGGCAACCAGGCTTGGTCCTTCAGTTGAAGAAGGAAACCTCTCTTTTCCTTCTTTTTTCTATTATATACTCACGGTCTTTCTGTAGCTTCCTTACTCGTATTTTTAGCTCCTGGGGTAGACGTCGCCAATCTGGGAATAGTGGGAATGTAGAAGTCAGTAAGACCCTGTCTGGGTCTCCTATGAATTAGTTATTTTTAATAAAGATTTTGTATTTATTTTTAAAGAGGGGAAGGGAGAGAGAAAGAGGGAAAGAAACATCGATCTGGGAACCAAACCCACAACCTAGTCAACTCAGGCATGTGCCCTGATTGGGAATCAAACTGGCAACCTTTAACTTTGCAGGACGATAGATGCCCAACCGAGCTGCACCAGTCAGGGTAGAATGACTGGTTTTAAGGGAGATAATAAGGGTCAGGATAAACATGAGAAAAGAAGAGGTTGGATCAAAAACTGGCTTGGATGTCTCCAGGGACGTGAAGGTTATTTAATAGGTTTTTAGATAGAGCCTGAGCATGTTCGCTAGCATACGTAAGGCTCTAGCTTATAAATACTGGATGGAGTAGAGGGGGGACAAAGAAGGGTGAATGAGGTGATAGCCAGTGGCTTGAGGCTTGCCAGATATTTGAAAGAAGGGCAGTTAATGAAAGGACCCATCACCTACCAGGGTTCCAATCAATGGCATTGTCAATCGGTCCTGACATCTGATATTTGTCTGAGTAACGCTCCACATCTGAGAGATCAGAGGCCAAGGGTCAAAGTTTTATCATTTCAAAGTCATAGAACAGGGTCATTCCGCAGGGCCCAGCCCTCTCAATACTTAGGAATTGTCTGTCCCTTCAGCCCAAACCCAGAGCCCAAGGGGCTCAGCTTCAGTGAGAACCTGAAATTACAGTATTTTTGTTAACTTCCTCAACCCAAAGGCATGACTATATCAAGAGGTAGTGTGATACAGTAAAAAATATACTAGAGAGCAAGAAAACAGGGTTTCTGTATTCCTTTTACTCCTTTTAATGGGACTAACTTAGACAAGTCTTTCCTCTCTCTGAGTTTTAGCTCCTAGGGCTTCAGTAGGAAGGCACCAGTTACCAATATCCTGAAATACTGTACTTCCACAGCAGTCAGTAAATATCCACTATCCCAAGCCTACCAAGCACACCCCTCTTCTCCAGTCCCTCCCGGTCTCCCTAACTTCTCCATGATCCACTAACCAAAAAGGTAATACTTTAGTTAGCAGGGTACCTCAGACACCTAACACCAGCCCCCCTTCTGACTGGTTGATGCCTGTAATAACCAGATTGTTAAAAATTTAATACATCTCCCCATTTACACATGTGAAATGCACATCTTAATACTTAACTTCCTACTGTCCAAAGACTATTGTAAGACACAAAACAAGCCATGAATAGTGTCATGTATTTCAAACGCAGGGGTAATTATTATGATCTCCCCAGGTAGACAGTGAGCTTTCTGTGCCTCTTCTGGCATCTCTGGCCTCCAGTAGTGCTGAATATAAGGCACTGCGCATGGAAGGCACTCAGAACATTCCAACTGACCTCTTTTGGGGACAGCTGGCCGGATGAAGTAAGGGAGCTGCCTCATGGCCCCTCGCAACTCCTGCTTCAATGCCAGGACATATTCTCCTTCCTCTCCTGAGGGCAGAGGCACTGGTTGGAACTCCAATGGCTAAGGAGGCAGGGGCAGTGGTCAGCCCAGGGAGAAAATGCTGGAGTACAAATCTAGGAGGGTTTCTCCCTGCAATTCAATCCAATGCTCCTACTGAGCAAAGGGCCAAAAGACAATGAGCATCACAAGACAGCATTTTGAAAGCTGGTGATCTGGGATTATGAGATGTAAGGATATACACCTCCTTTCCTTGAAAATATCCCATGCAAGCTAGGTGCATAGAGATGGGGAGAAGGAAGATGAGGATGGTTTTGTGATGGCCCAGGAGAAATCCAGGATCAGCCAGTAAGGGGCACTTGGGAGGCTTGGGAAAGGAGGACACACACTCACAGGGAAGAGTGGAGAAGGCTGCAGGGTGGGTGGTGGCAGAGCATCCCCCTTCCCAATGCCCACAGCCTCCGTATTGAAGGTCAACTGGCCCCGGCCCCGGCCGCGGCCCCGGCCCCCACCCCGGCTGGCCATGGTGAAGGGGGCCTGGGTAGTCAGAGATCCAGTGAGAAAAACCTGGTAAGACAAAAACAAAGAGAAAAAGTACAGTAGAATGTATAGGAAGCCATGGAGGTATGCCCAATCTTTTTCCCTGGGATCTAAAAGCCAGTGTAATTCAACAAATTTTGATTAACAGTGCATGTACCAGGCAGGGTATCTCTGGAAATATAAATATGGATGAGACATGGTTTCAACAGGACAGATAATTGCAATACAGTGTAACTGTAGCACAAAGGGGAAAGTGATAAGATCCTTGGATAAAACTTCCCTGCATCCCTAAGATAATTTGATGTTTATCAGCATCTGCATATCTATATATGACCTTTTAATTCTTTCTCTCCATAGCATTCCAAACCCAACTAGGCCCCAATTCAATCCAATTTAATGTATTTCAATAAAACACTTATTAAGCACATACCATGAAAAAGGTAGTGTGCCAGGCAATGCAGAAGCACAGGGATAAGTCATCAGTCTCACTGTCAGAAGTAGGAGGTGAGAGTGGAGAGAGGGAACCATTACAATCAAATTGATCTTTTAAAACACAACTTAGAAGCACAGAACTTAGAATTAGAAGGACTCACAGTTATCTAGTCCAAACCCCCTCCCAATGTAGTACTCTACTCTCCAAGTTGTTAAGTTATTCTGCTTCTAGTGACATTTTCTTGAAGTGAGGGTGGTCAGTCCTGACTGATGTGGCTCAGTTGGCTGGGCATCATCCCACGAAGCAAAAGTTATCTGGTTTGATTTCCTGTCAGAGCACATGCCTGGGTTACAGTTTCAGTCCTCAGACAGGGCACCTATCAGAGGCAACAGATCAATGTTTCTCTCCCTCTCTTTCTCCCTCCCTTCCCCTCTCTCTAAAAATAAATAAATAAATATATATATATATATATATATATATATATATATATATATATATATTTTTTTTTTTTTTTTAAAGGGCAAGGGTATTCATTCTCCCCAATGGCAGCCTGTTCCACTGTGATCAACTCTGATGACTCAAAAGCTCCTCCTGATACTGAAATGAACTCTGCCTCTTGTCTTTATCAGTCTTGAAGGGACAGTCAGAAGCCACTAGGATGGGGTATAAAGTTATCAAATGCAAATGAAACTTGAAAGAAATGATACCCCAGTAGCAAGAAACACAGCTAATGCCCAGATCTTGGTTTCTAATACCATTTTCCAATAAAAGGAATCAAGGCTTCTTGGAGCAAGGACTGAGGCAGGAAGTATACAAGATGAGACCAAAGTATCTTCTAGTGCCAGAAAGTAAGAAAGTGCTAAAAAAATTAAAATAAAAAATAACACACATACATTAATGGGGCTATGTCAAAGGAGCATAAAAGTAAAATGAAAGAGTTCCCAATGGCCAAAGTGAGGACAGTTTGAGCAATACAATAGTGTTGGATTATAACCCAAAAGTATAAAATAAGAAATAAAAAGTATAAAATCCATGAGTTCATACTACCATAAATAAATTATTGATTAAATTCATACATCAGGGAGAAAAGACAAATCTCTCATGTAGGTTACACAGACTCCTCTAAAGACAGAGGGTAGAACTCCCCTCTCCTGAAGTGTGGGCTGTATATAGGGAATTTTGTCCCATACAATTTTTGAAAGGGGGATAATAACTTTAAAATGGAGAAACTGGATGACTACTACTTTAGTCAGGTGACCAAGGTCAGTATCAACAATATTAAATCATGTCATTACTAAGTACCCTTAATATTGAAATTATGAAAATGGCACTCTATCACTTTACCTCTGTGAGCCTCATCACCTAACTCCATAACCCCAGTCTAATCAAGAGAAAAACATCAGACAAATTCCACCAGAGGAGTATCTTATCATATACTTGACCAGTACTCTTTAATACAGTCAAAGTCACCAAAATTAAGGAAGGTCCACTCTTCCATTGTAAAAGAGAAGGAGCTGACCTAGTGGTAGGATTCTGAAAAATAAAAAAACACCATTCCCTTTGTTCTCTTATTATAGAACTAATATACTTAGTTCTATAGAAACTAATAAGTATAATATACTAGAAAAATATACTTATCCTAAAAAACTTGGAAAGACATAAAGGTATAAAGAAAAATACCTATTATTTCATGATGACCACCACATAGTAATAACCATTATTAAGGCTTTTTATTTAGTGACTTGAGAGAGAAAGAAACATTGATTTGTTGTTCCACTTATTTATGCATTCATTGGTTGCTTCTTGTATGTGCCCTCACAAGAGATCAAACTCGCAACCATGGCATATTGGGTGGTACTCTAACCAACTGAGTTACCTGGCCAGGACTCCCATTATTAATATCTTAATACATATCCTTTTAACTTCATTTCCATGTGTCTGCATACATATACATGCACATAATAGGCCATGATAAGTAAATGAAGTATGGTATACTGGATGGAATTCTGGAATAGAAAAAGAGCAGTAGGTAAAACTACAGAAATATGAATCAAGTATGACCTTAAATAATTATATCAATATGGTTTCATAATTGTAACTAATGTACCATACTAATATATGATGCCAATAATAGGGGAAACTGTGTGCCAGGGCATATAGAAACCTTTTGTACTATCTGTTCAATTTTTCTATAAATCAAAGTTGTTTTAAGAAATAAAATCTATTTTTAAAAAAACTCGAGTAGCAATTTGAAATGCACAGTTTCTCATATCTCCCTTGTTTTTGATTACCTTGACAGTGTTAAAGAGTACCGGTCAGTTATATGATAGGATGCCCCTCTGCTGGAATTTGTCTGATGTTTTTCTCCCTATTAGACTGGGGTTATAGGTTTTGGGGAGGAGAATTGCAGAAGTAAAATGCCATTTCATCACATCATATTGAGGGTACATACTAACAACATGTTAGAGAACAACAGGAAATAATACAGTATATAATTAATATCACTCAAATTAGTGATTTGTAATATAATTGTCCCCCACAGTCCAAAGAAGGGAGAAAACTAGGAGGTCTGGGATGGTGAGGGAGGGCTTTGTGAGTATAAATCACAAGGTCTCAAGTTTGAAAGAGCCCTTAGAAATCATGCATTTATTCACACACCAAATATTTATTGAACATCTACTATTTGCCAGACAGTGTCAGATAATAGGGATCATGGTGAAACATCTACTCTAGATTTGCCTCCTTCCTCTGATAAACTATAATTAGTAAATTGTTACTCAACTTCTGGTTAATCATCTTTAGTGAGAGAACTCCCTCGTTCACTTTGCAGGTCCTTCCATTTCTGGATATTTGTTCTTCAATTAATATCCAACAAATGCTCTAGACAAGAAATATATGGCTCAATGAAGGGCATTTTACAAAAGATTAGTTGGTAAAAAAGATTCTAAAATATTTATAAAGTAATTTATACACACACCAATATAAATAAAAATGTTCTTAAAGGACATGAGGGGGGACCCCAAAAATCCAGAATTTATTTATAAAAATTATGTATTTATTCTTACATGTTTAAACTTCAGTCACCTTCAAAGTACTCTCCATTTGATGCAATACACCTATCGAGACTTTTTTCAGTGGGGAAAATAGTTTTTGAACAGATTTTGATGCCTTTTAGTGCTTTTGCCATTTTTTGTTTCATCTCTTCCACATAGGCAAAACACTTCCCTTTGAAGATTTTTTTAATATGAGGAAACAAAAAAAGAGTCACTTGGGCAAGACTGGGTGACTAGAAAGGGTGGAGCACCCATTTTTTGGTCAAAAACTGCTGAACACGCAGCATGGTGTGGGCAGGTACACTCATAAATCACCCATCATGAAATGGGCAAACATATTGAAAGAGACTTCAATAAAAATCACTGAAGTGGAAATGCAGCCTTACACAACGCCAGCTGGTGCACTGATAAAGATGGGTTCCTAGAACACTTACCTAATGGGAGAAGCCTGAGCTACACAGGACCCACCATCCAGAAGGTAATTCTGGAGTTTGGGGGGTTTCCCCCTCATATACATCAAAAATTATCATTGGTTGAGGTGGGCTTTTTGGGGGGTTTTTTGGGGGGGGGGGGGGGTGTTATTTGTATTTTAAGATTTTCTTCTATACTGAATAGGTACTATTTTTGTAATTAGAGAAAAATACTGATTTAAATTTAAAAATAAATACTAACTATAGTAGATGAGACTAATATGCAGCAGGAAGGAGAGGGTAAAGAAATGCGTGTCTGAAGAAAGTTTCAAGTCCAACTGCCACAAAAAAATGTGAAGAAAAAATGGCTGTTAATTAATAGATTTAATTGTGATCTGAGTGAAAGAGCATATTAGGGGAAAGAGGAATTCTCATGGATACTGGGGAAGGAATGAGAATTCATCACCATAAAGAGGCCCTTTAAAAAGAAAGAATATGCTAACCATCTGACTTAGGTCTCTTTCCACTTGACATTTACAGTTCTAGCAGTGGAGATGGGAGCTGTTTGGATTGCAAAGCAGTGAGGAGTCAGGAAAAGGCCAGGAGTTTTGAGGTTAGATAAAGCTAACTCCATTTCCACATATCTACCCAATGATTCCCAAAGAAGTGGTGTAAAAGAAGACAAAGGTCTATTTAATTTAGGTAATAAACTGATGTTTGAGAAACTAAACCATTCATCTCTACTCCATTTAGTTCAGCAATTACAATGAGTCTCTTACATTTAAATTGTGACTGACTCTCAATTCTTGAAGATATTTAAATCTCCCATAATCTGGTCCCAAACTACTCCTCTTTAATATCAACCCTCCCCAATGTTCACCCCTGCATTCTCCTTCCCTAAAACTACATCTCATATACTTTATACTTATTCCCAATTATGCATAATGGTGTATTATGGTAGAAGTTACTAAGAATGGGTTGCAACAAAACATACAGCAAAACAATTACATCAAATTTAAGGAGGGCTGTACACGTAGTGGTTAAGAACATGGATTTGAATCCCAGTTCTGCCATTTCCTAGCCCCATAACCTTCAACAATTTATTTAAAATCTCTAAACCTGTTTCTTCATCTGTAAAATGGAGATAAGAAAATAAAACCACCTTAATTAATTCAATAAATACTTACTGAGTGCTTACTATGTGCCAGGCACTGTTCTAAAAAATCTAGGGACTGAGGCCTGAGGCACTCTAATGTTTAGACTGTCCTATATTTATAATAAATAAGACAAGGTGTTAACACTAATTATATTAGAATCCATGGAAACCCGAGTAGAAAAAAATCATCCCCCCAAAAATAAATGTGCAAAGTATATGAACAATTGACAAAAGTATAAGTAATAAAACCATGCTTTGCCTATCAAACTGACAAAGATTTATCTCTCAAACATTGATGTTTCTTTCCTCTTTCTCCTTCCCTTCCCCTCTCTCTAAAAGTAGATAAATAAAATCTTTTAAAAAATAAAAATCTACCCTGAAGAAATCATCAGACATATTGTCAGAGATATAAGTTCAAGGATGTTCCTCAAAGAGCTATTCATATTAGCAAAAATTTTGAAATAACAAAAAAAGAATGATTTAAAAAGTTCAAAATATCCATTTTAGACTATTATGTAGCCATAAAATGAATTCAAATAATACTTACAGGCAAAAAATCACAATATAAAGTGTGGGGAACATGATATAAAAAAATGCATTTATTGCATGGCCCTATTTATGTAATATATAAACACACACATATGTATGCATGTGGAGAAGAAATTGAAAGGATACATATTAAAATAGTAATGGATATCACTACATCATGGTCATGAAATAATTTTTCTTTTTATCTTTTTGTGATTCCAAATTTCTAGAATAAATGTGTATTACTTCTATAATCAGAAAACAAGAGGAATAGTATTCTTTATTTTAAGAATGCTACCACTAGAACAGCTCTCCCTCTTTTACAGTGGAAGTGTAGAATGCATTTAGTTGAGCTATATATTTGTTAAGAATATTTGTTGGATATTAACTGAAGAACAAATATCCAAAAATGGAAGAACCTGTAAAATGAGATAGAGTTCTTTGACTAAAGACAATTAAATAGAAGCTGAATAACAATTTACTATATATGGTTTATCAGAGGAAGTAGACTGGAGTAGAGGACTCATTATGATCCCCATTGTCTAGCACTGGCATATAATAGAAGCTCAATAAATATTTGCTAAATGAATAAATACATGATTTTTAAGGTTTCTTTCAAACCTTAAATGAATCATAAGATTCATAAATCCTCCCCTCACCATCCCATTCTTTCTAGCTTTCTCCATTCTCTGAACTGTGGAGCAATTACTCTATCATGAACAACTAATTTTAAGAGACCTTAATTATATACTGTATTGTATTTTATCTCTTATTAATTGTTCCCTAATCACATTAGGAGTTTAAATTCTGCATTCCCTATCAATTCCATTTACTTAACCTTTAAGTTAAGTAAATGTGTATTAAGCACTGTGTATTAAGAATCTGCCTTATAAAACCTTATATTCTGAGAAGAATAGAAACAATAAAGAGGCAGGGTGCACGGAGTACTCTAATAGAGGTATGCATAAAATGCTATCATCTGACTGAGAAACAATTAAGTCTAGGGGGGGAAAGAGGTATTACAGGAAAGCTACAGGTAGAAAGTAAGTAGCCTTTCAACTGAATCTTAACAGATAATGGAAGTCTGTCTGTCTATTGGAGAAATAATATTAATAGATTCGAGGAAAGCTGATGCCCTTGCAAAGAGTCAGAAGTACAAGAGTGAGTTTTTTCACTTTTGTTTTAAAATCTCTTGCCTATACGCAAAAGAAAACTACGGTTTTCTGATATACTAATCAATATAGCAATGGGAACCCAGAAAGGGTAGGGAGCGAGAAGAGGGCTAATCCACCAGACTGCTGATAATCCTTGTCTATCTTGCCTCTTGGCCCTGGTGAACTAGCACGGGAAATGTGCGATAGAACCAGGTCCGAGCCACCAGATCGGAGTCTTACCTTCTACCCCTCCCCCACACGGAGCCCACGCAGCAGCCAACTTGAAATCTGCTCCTCTTCCTCCAACTGCTGGCGTTCTAGGTCCGCCTCCCGGAGCTCCCCATTGGTGAATTCTCCCCGCCAATCTAGGAGAAGCGGAGGGAGGTCCGCCCACTTGAAGCGGAGGGAGGTCCGCCCACTTGAAGCGGATAAAGAGAAGGAGGGAGGGAAGGGAGTGAGCCGGAACCCAGGCTTGGAGAGCCGGGAGCTGAGAGAGATGGGGTTGCAAAATCAACCAAGAGTCCGTTATTTACGATTTCATCTCGGATGGAGAAGCCTGACCTCAGATCTCACCGACGGACTGTTGAGGGAACTCCTGCAGAGAAATAAACCCCTATGAAACCTACTCATTATAGATCAGTCTTTTTGTAACTGGCTTCACAGCTTGGCCTTTGCTCCATTACTCCAACCTTCCTGTTAATCCTACACTGCTCCCCTCTTGTACCACCAATGAATACTTCTTTTCTACCAATTTTTTTTCCTGTGGGTTGCTGCCATGTCTGTGAGAAGATGGCAAGAAGGTTTGGGGAAGGAAGGGTTCAGAATCAGAGAACCGGAGTTGGGGTGGCAGGGCAGAAGCCCAGTGAGTGTTTCCTGCATTTTCCATTACCTTCGAGCTCCTCCTAGCCCTTGGTAAAGGGAACACGGTGGGTAGAGGAGTCCTACTTTCACACACACACACACACACACACACACACACACACACACACAGAAGGAAAGAGTTCAGAGTGGTTATAAAATCTAGGAGTGAGTAGAGAATATCCCAGATGTCAGAGAAAATGGCCCTGGGAGTAAGCCTCTGGACTTGGTAGGAAGGCTGTAGGGGTAGTGGCAAGTGCCCAGTCTTTGGAATAGGACAGAAACAGAGCTGTGAGACCTTGGAGAATTTGCTTAACTTTACTAAGTCTCTGTTTCTTCATCTACAACAAGAAGATAATTCCTTCCTTATAGCATTGTTGTGAGGATTGGAGATAATGTATGTAAAGTACTTGACATATAGTCGGTGTCCAATAAATGGCAGCTAGTAAAAAATGGGTATCTTCTCTGCAAATATTTCTCTCTCCCCTGTTTTCCCAGGACCATTATTTTTAGTACCTTGTGGCTAGTGTCCTCCAGCTTCTGAATGGTCTCAGGTGAGTTTTCCGAATCCAAAGGATATTTTCCTCATCCCGCATTTCCCTCTGATGCCCTCCAGCTGGACACAAGTTCATTCCTAAAACATGCAGATGGAAGCTATGGTAACCATGGAGACGGGGCAGGTGGCAAGGAGAAGCAGAGACGGTGAAAGAAACCGCTTCGGACAGATAGGGGAGAGAGACTTAGGAGCGATTTGGACAGACTCCAAGCAAGATGGAAAAAAAAAAAAAAAATGAGTGTAGGCCCTGGCCGGGTAGCTTAGTTGGTTAGAGCGTCGACCCCATAACGCTAAAGTTGCGGGGTTTGTCTCCAGTCAGGGCGCGCCAATGAGTGGAACCGCAAATCGATACTTCTCTCCCTCTCTCTAAAATTAACAAATTTTTAAAAATCATAATTAAAAAATAACAAGACTAAGAGTAAACAGATACAATGAGAGGATGTGTTACAAGGTTTGCTCTCCTCTCTACCCTTTTCTATCCTTCCCCCCACCCTCCCACCAAGAATATGGGGAGGAGGCATCTAGGAATGCCCCCTGGCTTTTCCTCAAAATAACCCAAAATATCCACCTTCATACTTATTTAAGAGGGCTGTACAAGAGGGCTGAGCCAAGTTTACGCGTGCTGTGTTCAGTTTGGGGAGGAGGGGGCGTGTAGAATGAGGACGTACCACTGTGTCCGATTCCAGCTCTCCCTGATATTTAAACTCTAAGAAGCCAGTCAGATCTCTAGGCACTCTGCACAGTATCGACGCTGACTGTGGATCCCAAACGCCTCCCTCCACCCCTGTGCACAGTGTGTCCTGTGCCGTGCGTGATAGGTAGGTCAGGTCTGGCGCACAAGCGCGCAGAAACACGCCAAGCGAGAATGGGGATCTGCTGAAGCTCAATCTGGGTCTCTCAGAAATCTCCCAAGGAACATTTAGATTTGCTGGGACGGAAGGGAGGTCGGCTAAGCAAAGACAATCAAGATTGGAGCCTCTAGGTTTAAAGGGTTTATGTGTAAATGGGTGGGGAAAAGGTTTGGTGTCCGACGCCCCCACCCGAAGAAACTAGGCTATAAATAGCAAAGCAGAGCTCCGCCTTTCGAACTCCCCCCACCCCCACCACACCCCAGCTTTTCTCCTCCCCAGCCGGCGCTGTGCCCGGGCGCACCGGGAGGAGGGACCAGGATCTGGTGCCCAGGCGCAGATACTGACACCAAAGGAATCGGGTAACCGGGTGCCCCCCCCCGCGACGCCATGTGGGCCCCCGGGAACCCGGCTCCATCACCCCAGCTGCCAGGTGGCCCTGGCCTCAGTCCTGGCCAGGCGGAGATTCTGCGGACATTCAGGTATCTATCTAGACGCACAGCCTGGGAGGGGAAAGAGCAAGATGTGATGGGGAACATAGCAGGGGCAAAAGAAACCCCCAATTACCCCCCCCCCATACACACACACGTTTTAGGTCCCAAATGCAAGCTGCTTCCCTTCCCCCACTCAATTTATGGGGCTGTGGCAACTTAAAAGAGGTTAGGAATGGGAATGCGTGTGAATGTATGGGTGCATGTGCGTGGGTGGGCGGCATTCTGCATCCTAGAAAGGGGGATTCTAAGTGCGGTTAAGAAAACGGGGAGCTGGAAAGGTCTGATAAGCCGTGGGGTGAGGGTGGAGGTGCGGATGTCTCTTGAGCGTGCACGTACGTGCTCGTTCTCTAATGCGGGTGCACCCTTCCCACCTCCTCAGGCATGCTCTGGGGGGAGGGCGCGGCTCAAGGCAGGACTTAGAGGAAGGACTGTGTGCCAAGCAGTGGAGATCTCCTCCGCCCCATGCCGGGTCCTTCCTCCGGTGCCTCAGCTTCCCTGCCTGAATCCGTGGATAAGATCTCTCTCTTTCTCGCAGGGATTGGCTTCACCACTGAGCCCTGAGGCCTCTTCCAGCCACCACCCCCACATCCCTAGCCTTCCTCGGCACCATCAGTGCTCTTATCCTAGCCTCAGCAATGCTGCATACCGAGGGCCACGCTCTTCTTCGGGCTGTGGGTCAGGGTAAACTACGCTTGGCCCGTTTGCTTCTGGAGGGAGGTGCCTACGTGAATGAGGGTGATGCCCAGGGGGAGACTGCGTTAATGGCGGCTTGTCGGGCCCGCTACGATGACCCCCAGAACAAGGCGCGCATGGTACGCTACCTTCTGGAGCAAGGTGCAGACCCCAACATCGCAGACCGCCTAGGGCGTACTGCGCTCATGCACGCTTGCGCTGGGGGTGGAGGAGCCGCAGTGGCGTCGCTGCTCCTTGCCCACGGCGCAGACCCCTCAGTTCGAGACCACACGGGCGCCTCGGCGCTTGTCCACGCCCTGGACCGCGGGGATCGCGAGACCCTTGCCACACTGCTGGACGCCTGTAAGGCCAAGGGCACGGAGGTCATCATCATCACCACGGACACCTCGCCCTCAGGCACCAAGAAGACCCGGCAGTATCTCAATTCCCCACCGTCCCCGGGGGTGGAGGACCCCACTCCCTCTCCTCCTAGCCCTGGGGTCTGCACGTCGCCTTCGGAAATCCAACTGCAGACTTCAGGAGGAGGCCAGGGTTTGTTATCTCCTCGCACCCAGGAAGAAGAGGAGAAGCGGGACGTATTTGAATTCCCTCTTCCTAAGTCCCCTGATGACCCTTCCCCTTCTGATCCGCTCCCCAAACCACCCCGTCACCCTCCAAAACCACTCAAAAGGCTCAACTCCGAGCCCTGGGGCCTAGTGGCTCCTCCACCCGTTCCGCCCGCCGAAGGGAGGCTAGGGATAGAGCGCCTGGCCACCGATTTCAACGGCTTGACCCTAGGTGGTCGACCCCGTCTTTCCAGACGTCACAGCACCGAGGGCCCGGAGGACCCGCCCCCGTGGGCGGAGAAAGTGACGGGTGGGGGTCCCCTCTCACGCCGAAATACCGCGCCAGAAGCTCAGGAGTCTGGTCTTCCGTCAGGGCTGAGGCAAAAACTGAGCCGCATGGAGCCGGTGGAGCTCGATGCCCCCGGAAATCTTTGCCCTGATTCGCCGGAGTGCTGCCGCCCATCCTTGGAGCGCCGCCGATACAGCGCCTCCCCGCTGACTCTTCCTCTGGCAGGTTCGGCTCCCTCCCCGCGCCAGTCCCAGGAAAGTCTGCCTGGGGCTGTGTCTCCCCTGAGTGGGAGAAGGCGGAGCCCGGGGCTGCTGGAGCGGAGGGGCTCGGGAACTTTACTCCTGGACCACATCTCGCAAACGCGGCCGGGTTTCCTGCCTCCGCTCAACGTCAGCCCCCACCCTCCCATCCCCGACATTCGCCCCCAACCCGGATGTCGGGCGCCCTCGCTGCCCGCTCCTCCCCAGGCGGGGACGCCAAGTTCTCCCAGGGCCAAGCGCAAACTGGTGAGGCGCCACTCCATGCAGACGGAACAGATCCGCCTGCTAGGGGGCTTCCAGAGTCTAGGCGGGTCGGGGGAGCCGGGGCGCTGAGAGGTGTGAGAGGAGCCAGGAGGGTGGGGATCAGGACCTTGATGGAACAAGTAGGAGAACCAGCTCACACACGTAACCATAGGGGTCTTTTGCATGTGCTCCTGGGCACGGTGCACGCACACATGGGCAACCGTGTTCACAAACACAGTTACTCTTATTTGCAGGGAAGGGTAAGTACTCTATTGGGCATATAGACACATGCATTCATGCCCTGGTCACTTCACATGCATATGAGAATTACTTGTGTACCTACCCACAGACACAGCACACACAGGACCACTTATCCTGGGGCCCCAATTGGGTCCCAAACTTACTTGCATTTGTTCAGAAGTAGTAGGGAACCCTTCTTATGGGTAGTCTCCAATCTCCTTGCTCTCTGACAGAAGCAATCCCTTCCTTTCCATACATGCCCTACAACACAGCCATGATTTCGCACACTCTACCCTCTCTGTGAATATTTCATCTCATTCTTCATGTCTTGCTTCTTTCTCTAGGCCTGACTCCTTGTTCACACCCTGCTTCCAGTCCTAACCATTGTTCAGTATATCTTCGCTCTCCTTGGGGGTTTTCTGCAGCAATGCCTAGCCTCATTTCTGCTGCTGCCCTTCCTGCTCTCAGCTTCTCAACTTTCTGCTTTTTATTCCCACCCTGTTCCCCCGACCACCACAACAGATTGTCACATTTTCCCAGGGGGTGGGTCAGCTTATGAACCGCCCCCCCCCAGCGTGGGTAAAAGTGGGGAATAACCCTAAATCATTCCTCTCTCCACTTGACATATCAAATAAATGTGTTCAGAAGTCTCTGTTTTGTCTCTTCTACCATGGGATGTGGGAAATGAGGAATGTGGAGGGAGGTGATGCTAACTATAGCTATGATGCTTTCTAGGGGATACTTAAGAGGTTCCACCCACCTTCTTTCCAAGAGTCCAACTGACCAACTGTGGTTGTAGAAGAAAAGGCAGGTGTCCTGTGTCCTCAGGGTTTTAAGGCAGATGGCATGCTTCCATTTCCCCCAGTCTTCCCTATGTCTATCCTCAAATTCTTTAACTGAAGAATCCCTCCACTATCAGTAGATACATCCCAGTAGATTGTGTCCTTTTTTCAAGTTCTAGTTCTTTTCCTAGTTCTTGACCACTCACAGGTTTTCCTATGGGTTCTAACTTTCATCTAACCAGGTGCATTTCATTCATTTTCTTCTGGCTTATATTTCCTCATCCTTGATTTCATGGGGGGGGGCAGGGGGCGAGAATTAGTATAATCTCACCTCGATAAAAATGGCATGATGGTCAACTGACAAAGGGTGTGTGTGTGTGTGTGTGTGTGTGTGTGTGTGTGTGTGTAAGAGTACACAGAGAAACCCAGTCTGACAGGTTCTACAAACAAGGGCACCTGTCTTAATCTGCTCTCTGGACCTCTTAGTGTGCTGATTTTCTGCATATATTCTAACTCTTCCTCAACCTAATAGGAGGCAAAGGAGCAGCGCATTCTACTCTTTCTTACTTCCCTAACTAGAATAGGTGAAATCAGAAAAGTACTCAGCAATGTGATATAATGAAAATATCAAAGTATCGGGACTCAGAAGGCTTATGTCTAACCCCACTCCCACCCCCATCCTCGCCATCTCCTACCTGTTTAATTTTGTGCAGTTTAGCCTGAGTGTGTTTCCTTATTCATAAAATACTAAAATTGACTTAGTGATTGTGATAATTAAATATGACAATGTCCTAAGTGTATGGCATAGTGTCTGACATATAGTAAATATTTTCTTATTAAATGTCAGCATCTTCCATTGCATGTGATCTTGGACAAGTCACATCACTTCTCTGAGCCAGTTTCCTCAACTACATCTCTAAAATGAAGTGGTCAGGCCAATGCTCTCTAAGTATCCTCTCACTACGTCTGTAATTCTTCCCAGCCTTGCTTCCTAGCCAATTCTCCTCCCCACCCTCCGACCGCCGCAAGCCCCGCCCTAGGGGCCGGCCGGGTTTTTAGTACTCCCACAGACGCCCCCACTCCGAGCTTCTCTTATACGGAGCGATCGCTTTTTCTCTGTGCAATTGGGTGTTCAGAACTTTAGCCCTCCTCAATAATTAGCCTATGGCGGAGCTGGAGCCCGCCAACTCCCGCCCCCTCCCTGGTGATTGGCATAGGACCTGGCTCGTCCCCGCCCCCGCTTGACTGACGGCTAGGCTTTGGCACCGCCTTCAGTCCCTAGGCTCTAGCTGGCGCGGGTGGTTGGGACCGTTATAGCTCGCCAGACTGGCAAGCTCCGGGCCGCTACTCCACTGGCGTCAGGAATGGAGACGATGCGAGCGCAGCGGCTGCAGCCTGGGGTGGGCCCCAACGGGAGGGGCACTCTGCGAACGCTGCGCCCCGGAGTGACTGGGGCCGTGGCTGCCCCCGCCACACCCTCAGTGGGCTCCCCCCAAACCCCGCCAGCCCCACCGCCCCCGCCGCCCCTGCTCCTGTCCGGGGCCCCCGGACTGCCACTGCCGCCTGGAGCGGCTGGCAGCCCGGCGGTGCTGCGGGAGGCTGTGGAGGCCGTGGTGAGGAGCTTCGCCAAGCACACGCAGGGCTATGGCCGAGGTGAGTCTGCGGGTCTGACCTCCTGCGGGACATCCTCCGTACGGGAGCCTTGCTCCGACAGTCCTCTGGATTGCTTTTCCTGGCGCAGAGCCCTCACATACATTTCCTTTTGGGGAGTTTCCTTCTGGGCTATACGCACACGCACACACTCATACACACACTCAGTCTCTCACCCGTCCCCTTTATTGAGTTACTACTATATTCTCTAGGAACCCCTTTTTACAGATACGGTCCTCTTTTCCTCCCAACCTTTTCTCCTTCAAAAATGGAATTCCTCCTACAGCTTAATGCTTTAACATCTCTGCCTTTGAGAACAGGTCCCCATTGTGTGAGATCCTGTCCTTTATCTCAGATCTAAAACGTCTCTCATCCATATGCTCTTCAGTCTTCTGTGATCTCAGCAATTTCTGGGCTCCCATGTAAATTTACTCCATCGCCTTGACTTCTTAATTCTTTTCTTATGTACTGTCATTCTAAAATTCCTAATGTGCAACTTTAGATTTGCTGGGAGTTCCGTGGTGTCTTCACAAGTTACTTTTAATAACTGCTTTTAAGCCTGGACACGTACTACTGAATTCACACCAGCTTCCTGTGACTTAGTACCTCACTTTGGTATCTTTTTTAGTCTGGATCCTTTCAACTCTGGCCTGTCTGGTTCAGTTTTCCTGGCCTTTGCCCAGGAACTGAGGATAAATCCCAGGCCTTGGCTCTTTCAGTGTTACAATACATTCTGTGGAAATGAGCCAGGCCGAAATCCGATTTCTGTTAGAAATCTTCACCTTAAAGAAGCCTAATTTCTAGCGCTTCTGAAAAGGGGAATGTCAGGATTTTCTTTGTTGTTTTTGTTTAACCAATGCATGTTTGCCTGAGTTGGAGCTCCATATTTATAGTGTAACAAGGAATACATATATAGTGATGGATGTGGGATACAGAATTTAGGTCTGGACTTTCTGAGACCTCGCTTCTGTTTGGTCAGGTCCTAAATCTTTAACTTGCTAGTTTAATAATAATGCAGAGAATGGTTGCAGGACTTTCTCTATAGACAGTAATGAGGTTGTTTTTCTCCATAAGAAAGTGTAGTGAAAAGAGCACACACAGGGTGTGGAGTCAGACAAGTCTGGATTAAATCCCAGATTAAATCTCCATCACTTGCCAGCTATGTCTTTGGAGAAGTGACTTAACCTCATTGAGCTTCAGTTTCCTCAGGAGTTAGGATGTGGATTAAATGAGACATTGCACCTGACACATAATGCAAACTTAAAAATGATGAGTATTATATCAAATTTATTGATTCATATTTCCTTGGGAAGGATATGTCTCATTTTCTCCCATTTTTAAATCCTGACAGTGTAAACCCACAGATTCCTATGAAAATAGATTTTTTGATCCATTTGGTTATATATGACTAATGATATATTTACTATCAGTTTCCCTTTGTTCTTCAACATTTTGAATTCCTACCATGGGGCAGGCACTCTATACTAGGAGCTGGGAATGCAAATGCATATAACTCTGAAATTCATCATGAGGGATATAGTTGTTTTTCTAGTTTAATTTCTATATTTAACAGAGCTATGTGATGGAACTGCCATCAGCTATTGTCCTGCTGCTTCAGTTCTCTTTAAGATGAGACCAAGGGAAGGTCTGCCTTTGAGCACAGGAGTAGCCAGGATCAGTCACTCCATATCTGCATCCTTCCTCTTGGAAACTTACAAGTTTTTTATTAAAATTGTAGAGGAGTGGATTTTTTTGTGTGTGTGCCTGTGTTACCTGAAAAGCTTCTGGTTTGACTAAACTGAGTGTCCTGTGAAGCCTTTTTCATTTCCTTAGAAATGATGAGGTAACAAGGGGATAGCACTGACAAAGAACAACCAGTTAGACTTCAGATTCCGCAGCAATTCTCTCTTCCAACCTCCCTACCTCCCACCAGTCCTCATTATTTTTAAGTTTCTCGTTTCCAGTCTGGGTGTCCAGCCAGTACTTTGGGAGAGTTTGGCCGATAGTCCAGCTTCAGGCAAACAGAATCTCAGCCAATTTTCGCTTAGAAGTCCTTCACCACATGGAATCATTTATTTTGCTTTGATTATTAGGCAAAGCTGCCATTGGCGTGTACCCCCATACCCCTGTGACTGATGGCATGGTGTTTGGGGGCTGACTGTATTTCCCTGCATATAATTTACTTTGGTCTTTGCCCAGCACATTTCTTGATCTAGCAATGCTTTACTGCATCATCTTCAGTTCACATTGTTCATCTTCTTCTGACTGCTCCAAATTCACCTTTTTCCAGTCATGGTCTTTAGCTTTACTTTCACTCATGTAGGATCTTAGTGTTTTTACAAAACAAACAAGCAAAAACTCTTTTGTTATTTTACCTGTTTCTGCTATATAGCCTCCACCCCCAAATCCCTGCCCAGGGTATTTTGGGCATAGCTCAAGTATGCTGTAGGATCTTAGTTTGTAGTGCATAAGATTTGGAATCAGAGCCTGGCGCTGTTAAATAGTGGCTGTGTGATCTTGGATAAATTGCTTATTCTCTCTAGACCTCATATATTCCATTAATTCATCTAACAAATATTTGTTGTTCACTAGATGCAGTGGTTAATAAGACAGATACTCAGTCCCTATCTTCATGGAGTTCAAAGTCCACTTTACAGACCATGTGCAAGGATGAATGGTGAAATAAAGCAGGATAGTACAACAGAGAGTGAGCTTTGGAGGCAAACCTTGATTCTAAATCCTGGTTCAGCCACTGTGACCAATTTTTAGCTTGTTCACTTTTTGTAAAATGGATATTATAATACCTATTTTGACAGTTTTGTGTGGATTAAATGATATACTGAGTGTAACGCATGCAACAAGTGGTACTCAATAAGTGGCTGCTATTGTTATGCATTTGGAAATGCTTTGGACACTGTGCATACAATAGGTATTTTAGCATTACCATTTCCTTTGCCCCTTTTTCCCACATGGCATACATATAGTTTCCTTTTTCTAATGTCTGACAGCTGGAAGTCTCTAAACTGGCATGATTGCCTGAGTGACTTTCCTTGTTAGGTAACTTGTGCATTGCTCTCTTCAAACCTATTTTTGCTCTCCCTTTATATCACAATATGGGTACATGATTGGAAAGTCTGCCCAGCTTTCTACAAGGTTGAAGAAGTGAATCTTGTGTGGTATTTTTTCTATTTAGTTGTTCCTTTTCCTCAGAATCCAGACAGCTTCTTTGCCTGTAAGTTACCATGGAGTTAAATTGATTGGTCTGAGTATTTCTAACTTTTGAAATGTTGGATTAGACTCTGTATTAGTTTCCTGTGGTTGCTCTAACCAATTATCCCTAACTTGGTGCCTTAAAACAACAGAAATTTATTCCCTCACAGTTCAGGAGGCCAGAAGTCCAAAATCAGTATCAGTGGGCCAAAATCAAGGTGTCAACAGATACATACTCCCTTCAGATACTCTAGGGGATCATCTGTTTCCTTGCCTCTGCCAGCTTCTGGTGTCTGTCAGCATTCCTTGGCATGTGACTGCCTTACTCCTGTCCCTGCCACCTTTTCCTCTTTGATGTTTCATCAAATATCATTCCCTAAGGACATTTGTGATTGTATTTAGAGCCCATCCCCTTAAGGTGAGGATATCCTCATGTTAAGATTATTAACTTAATCACATCTACAAAGTCTTTGCCATATAAGGTCATTCAGAGGCTCCAAGGAATAGAACATGGGCATCTTGGCAGGGGACATCATTTAGCCTACCACAGTCCTCTCCTAAAGTCTCTGTCACTTTGTAATGCCTTGCTTCCAAAGAGTCTGTGCACTTTGGGCTATTCAGGGGTACCTTCTACAAACTGACATAGGATATGTCAGATGAAATATTGTCCACCAGCTTCCCTATCTTCATTGTAATGTGAATTAAGTCAGACCAGCCTATTCTTACCATCCTTGATCAAGGAGAACCTTCTCACTCACCTCTCAATTTCATTATCTATATCCATGCTCCCCCCTCACAGAATTGTATTTATTTTTATGATATAAACTTTTTACTATAATCTGTGCCTCTCATTTTCACTTAGACACTCATCTAATATTTTATTTCCTAAGGACAAAACCAAAATTCTTCTCTTTTTTATTGCTATTCAGCATCGTAGCACAAGTAATTAAATATTCCTTGCTTTCTTGGTCTGTCTTCTCCCTTTCACCCCAGCATCCATCAGTGACTTTCAAAAAGCAATTGTAGCTGTCAGCTGTGCATGTCTCAGTCATTGCCACCCTCCCATCTCACTGTTTTTTAAACATTCTTATATAAACTATTATATCCATGTTTCCTCACTGAAAATCTTATAAACACTATGGGCAGACCCCCCCCCACACACACACACATAAATACTCATATGTGCATGCACACATACTTTTCCTATAGTTTAGGGAGCTTTTGAACCCCCATGAAGCTTAACTATGAACTTAATCTTAGCCCCTGTATTAAGATTCCCAAATTGAAAAACACTGGTAACCAGATGTCTACTCCATGCCCCCAAATTTGCTACAGCTGTGTGACACCAAGCACATCACTTACCCTTTCTTAGCCTGAGCTGGACTAAGTGATCTCTAAAGTATCTGTCAGCTCTAAAAAGAAATGAGTCTATGAGCATTTTCAAATGCAGATCACAATTAATTGCTTTTTTTACCTGAGCACATGCCCAATTTCCTAGTTCATATTCACATTTCTGAAATAAGGTTCCCTATTTCCTGTGGTTTTGAATAATCATTAAAAAATAGACCTGTATTCTGTTCCAAGAGGGGTTTAACTGGATATAAAATGGATATATGCTTTTTAATAGGACCTTCCCCATTATAGTGTTCTCCTCCCCTTTCTTATTTCAGTATTCTCCCTTTTGTTTGCATGTAAGGAGAATTGTCATTCAGCACATTGTGTTAAATTATCTCAAAGAGAGAACTGGGCCTGAAAAGATCTCAGTGGAAAGAACAAAGATGGCTGAGCTTCCTGGGCAGCAGTGACCTTTGAAAAACCCCTGCCAAAACTAAGGGTGGGAAAGAAAGTTTCCTTTTCATGCTGTCTTTTAGTAAAAGAATGAACATTCTAAAAAGTCAGTTAAATATAGGGTGTTAGAAAAGAGCTTATGCAGCTTTTGAACTCTGGCTGGTACATGGAGTGTTTGCTTCAGTTGTAGAACAGGTGAGATAAGTTATTATTGGCCAGTAGTTTTTTAACCCCTTGCTGGTGGGGCATGTGTTATTTATATTTGTATTCCTAATGCTTAAAATAGAGCAATGCCCCTATTACATGCTCAAATTTTTGTTTAATGTGTGTCTGGCAGCCATGAAAATGTGCTGTTCATATCTCCTTCTGCAGGGAGAATAATTGACTGACAGCCTTAAGCTGCTGTCCCCCTTAGGTCTGTTACATATTTGCACTAAGTTTACTTATCTGTTAGGCTGCTCCCAGCCAATGACTGAGCACAGCAGGGGTACTAACTCAGGCAAATCTGATGAGATATGGTACTTCTTTGTCCCAATGGCCTGGCCAAACCTTTCTTATAACTGTGCTGCAGTCTCTCATTTCTAAACTTCCTCCCTTCCCTCTCTCCCTCCACAGCTGTCAGGCCTTCAGTGTGGTTTAAAGACACTTCCTTCTACATCCTCCCCAATAAAACTCTTGCATGTCTATCTTATCTTGGTGTCTTCTCCTTGGCAGACCTGAACTAACACAACGTAAAAGAATTGTACTCCTGAAACTTATATAATTTTATTAACCAATGTCACCACAATAAATTCAATTAAAAGAAAAGAACAAACAAGTCCTTGTAACTGAGAGTAGAGAGTGGTAATGTTGGAAGATATTGGAGAATGTTTGTTATGAATTTATTATGATGAGGCTTTAAAGTCATTTGAAATGTTTGACCATAGAGTCAAAGTGACCCTTTCCAAAGGCAAACTGATCTCATCCTGTCTTCCATTTAAAACCCTTCAAAGGCTTCCCAATGCTCTTAGGATAAAGCCAATTCTCTATTATGGCCTGGTCTGGTCCCTGCTTCCTTTTGCAACCTCATCTTGAATTATACTTTACCTTGCTCTCTCTTTTCTAGACCCACTAGTCACTTTATTCACCATATTCCCTGCTGCCACAGAGCCTTTTATACATGTCATGCCTTCTGCTCAGAGCACTAGTCTTTTACCTTTTTGCCTAGTAAAAAATATAACTACATCTGAACTTCAACATTGCCTTGTAAGAGTAGCTTCTTAACTAAGTCAGATGTTCCTATAACATTTCCCACCATTTACCCCTTCTCTATAGCACTTATCACATTGGCTATCTTTCATTTGTTTGAGACTATTTGGTTAAATCTCTCTCCCTTTTTGGACTGTAAGCTGCATAAGGAAAAGGAACAGTATATGGTTTTGCTCAGTATTGTAGCCTAGCATCCAGCACAGAGTCTAGCTAGCACAGAGGAGGTACTCAATATATATTTGTGGAATAATTGAGTCCAATACTGGGGGATGAGGGCAACTGTTCTGGAATACAGCATCGGGTCTGGTGTTAGATTTTACCCTATTTATAGCTAATAAGTTAGCCTGTTACTGTTTCATGGGTGCTGGCAGAAGTCAAGAAATTCTGGGTCAGAGACAAAGGACTTTATTATTACTCTTAGCACAGCAAGTAGCATGAGTATCATGTTTGTCTGCATTGGTTTCCCTTGCCTCCGAAGTTCAACGTGGAAGGCTTGTTCTTCATCCCACCGAAAAATATCCATCTGTTAAGGTTTCTTACTGCAACCATAATCCTGAGAAGTGGCCTAAGTAAAGAGCAGCCAGGGCCTTGAAATCTTGGCATACCCAGCAAGACTGAAAAGAGATTGCAAGAAACCTGTGGAGAAGTATCTCCCAATAAACAGTTTCTCCAAAAATGATTTATATCTAGGGAAAACCTCAGAAGAGAAATTCATTTCTCTCCCCCCGCCATAGTATTATATCTATCGATCGATCGATCGATCGATCGATAGATCAATCTCACATAGTATTCCAGGATGGAAAAGGAATCTGGCCATGAATTTGCTTGCCAGAAGCATAGGCTTGGTAATAGCTAATACAACCATATTTCCTTGAATAGCAGTATTACATAATGGTTAAGAACATTGACTGCACCTAAGACTTCCTGGGTTTGAATTTTTGTTCTTCTGCTTTCTAGCTATTACATCCTTGGGCAAGTTATTTAACTTCTATATACCTCATTTCCCTCATCTGTAAAATGGGATAATAAAAGTACTTACCTCAGAAGGTTGTTGTGGTTAAATGGGTAAAGAACTTAGAGAAATGGGTGACATACAGTAAGTGTTCAGTAAATGTTTATACCTATTATTGTGGTGGTTATTTTTATTCTAGGGCAGCTGACCAATTGTAGAATAATCTACTTGCACTTCATCAGGCAGTGATAATGGTCTGCTCACCTTGGAACCTCTGCCTTCAATATTTAAGTCACTCTCCTTTGGAGTCTAGGACTAATCAAAATGTGAACTAGGAGGAGAAAGGCATACTCTGGGCTTCCTATGCCAATTGACTTAATCACTGTCTAAGCTTATTCATTTTAAAATGCTTTTAAATGGTGATAGATAGGAAGCTAAAGAGAGTAGACTCAACATAGGTACAGGTTACAGATACTCTACTGAAGGAGAGCATCACTTGGGAGTTCTCATTGCTGTACTTAATTGCTTCTCTTTTTGTAGTGAATGTGGTGGAGGCACTTCAGGAATTCTGGCAGATGAAGCAGTCTCGTGGGGCTGACTTGAAGAATGGGGCTCTAGTGGTTTATGAAATGGTTCCCTCCAACACCCCTCCCTATGTCTGCTATGTCACCCTGCCTGGGGGAAGTTGCTTTGGCAGTTTCCAGGTAAGAATTATGAAGCAGCAGTAGCAAAGATAATTTCTTAGGTGCTAATAATGGCTTTCTCCATCACTTTGGCCATTAAATTTCTGTTTGAAATAATGAGGACCTAAAACAATTCTGGGCAAATCATTCCTGTAAGCATCTGAGGTTCATTTGATCACAAAAGAACCTCAGTAGTGTGCTTTTAAGCCTGCAAAAATTCAAACCCACTTTGAATTTCAACAGTGATAAAAATGCCCTTACTCAAAAAAAGAATTTTTTTTTAAGAAAAAAATGTCCTTACTCAGTGTATCAGACTACCAGCATCTAACCCATGTTCCCATCTGGCTTTTTTAACTTTCTGCCATCTCTTTTTGAGAACATGGAATAGTATCCCTTGCCTCAAGTATGTTTTCATAGACATTTACTAAGGAAAGCAATGTCTGAGTTCTCTAAGAGATCAAAAGAGTGGGACTATGATGGAAATGTTACCCATCTAAGAGTTAGGAGAATCAATTTTTCATGTCTTTGACTGCCAGCAGGGCAAGTCAGGTAACTTCTCTGGGCCTCAGTTTCCCCATCTATAATATGAAGGAGATAGGTTAGATTATCTCTAAAGTCTTTCTAGCACTAGCTTTCTACAATTATGTGAAAAAAAAAAACATGTAACATATAGTGATGAAAAGTGTGGTTGCTATTATAGGGTAATGAGAAATTTGACGAGTGTGAATATTATCATCAAAGATGGATTCTTTACATTGCATATAGGAAGGTAGCCCTCTGAAATGTTAGAGTCTGAATAGGAATTTAGAAAAGAGAATAGATACTTTTGTTCTGTTTCCCATATGGTTTGTGCAACCCTTAGACAAAGTTATAACCCCTGATATGTGCTTCCATAACACCTTGAACTTCTCCTATCATATCACTTATCACAACATACAATTGTTTATGTCTCCTAGTGGATGACACTCCATGGAGGCAGAGATGGTGTCTGTCTTCTTCCTTGTTCGTTTTAAATTTCTACCACCAAACTCAGTACCTAGCACAGAGTAATTACTTAATAAATATGTTGCATGAATGAGTGCCATTGCAATTCATTTCCTGTCTCAAACAGAAACAGTCCTCAGGAAGCTTCATTTAAAATCAGATGACTGCCCTGGCCAGTGTGGCTTTGTCAGTTAGAGCATTGTCCCATAAACTGAAAGGTCACGGATTCGATTCCTGGTCAGGGCACATGCCTGGGTTGTGGAAACTGGTCAGGGCTGACATCAGTGTTTCTCTCCTCTCTCTCCCTCCCTTCCACTTTATACATGTCCTTGGGTGAGAATAGAAAAATACACAAAAATCAGATAACTAAATTTTACCCCTTAGAGCCCCCAGCTATTTCAGGGAAATAAATATGTGCCCAGGATGATTAATGCTTATGTTTCCTCCTCTACAGAGTAAGATCTTTCCTTCCCTTCTCCCATCTCATTAAGTTGCTGAATAAGGATCTGATTACTTTATGGTGATTCCCCAAGCTGGACCGTTAATGTACCAAGCTCTGTATGCTGTCTCAGAGAGACCTGTCAGCTAAAGGAAATTAGGAATTATTGATAATTAAGAATGGTTAAGTACCAAATAATATCTTGGTCTACTTTTTAAAGTTGTAACATCACTTTTTCCCTTTCTTCTAATCCTAATGATAAATGACAAAGGGCAGAGGTCTTTGAAGCAGCCAGTTAAGATGAATTTATAAAGGAATACTGTGGTGCCTAAGGGTCTGAAGTTGAATGATTTAAGACTTCTGAAAATCAGACTCTTCTGATACCGATGTTGGATACAATGTAGAACCATGAATTTTTAAATTTTTTCTTGCTTTCCTCAGGTCAGCAGCTTTCCTTCCCCTAGCCACTTCTCTTCTCCTAGCTTCCACTGGGGAAAAAGACAACTACGAATCCTTTCTTCAGACCTTAGACTGTGTTTGGGTATAGCTCCTTGGGGGAACTGCCTTCTCACAGATAAAAGTGAAGGCCAAGAATCCCAGATGAGTGCTTCTGATAGAGACTAGAGGTCTCCTCTGCAGAAGCAGGCTAGACACAGCTTTGTTCCAATCTTAGGTTATCTAGAAGGATGAAGAAAAATCTTGCCTGTCCACAGAACAAGAGAACAAAATACAGATTTCTAACAGGCTGGTCAGAATCTGGCTTTTGAGTAATTAATTGTTGACGGTTTAAACAGGGCTATTTTTCATATCCAGTGATTATATGCTGACTTCAACCAGCTTTTTTATTCCATATTCAATTTGGTATAAGCTACAGCCATCCAATTCTTTAATGACTTCAGGATGTTGAACCAAAATTATGTTTCCAAATATCTCCACTATTTTTACAATAACAACTTTAGTGTTGAACAAACTGATTTATCTAGAGTGTCTGTTTTCTGTCCCATGCATTTTCATCCATTGTTCCTTCTGTCTCTCAGACACACATATATACATTTTCTCTCTCTCTCTACCCTACCTAGTTTTGCCCCACAAAAGCTGAGGCCCGGAGGAGTGCTGCAAAGATTGCACTAATGAACTCTGTGTTTAATGAACATCCTTCCCGAAGAATCACTGATGAGTTCATTGAGAAGAGTGTCTCTGAGGCCCTGGCATCTTTCAATGTAAGTTACTTGGAGTTGGAAGGAAAGAGAGTGGGAGATGGGACAATTTGCCTGGCTGGACATCTTGTATATTACTGGGGAACAGGGCATGAACTCTTTATTTTTCTGTCTACATCTCTTCTGTTTTTTTCCTCTGTCAGTCTTTTGTATTCCAGGTTCCATAAGTATCAGTCTCTAATTCTATATGTGTGATTTATGGTTTTGTTGCTATTTTGTTTCTTTAGTATTTAGAAACCCTTGTATCTCTTTGGTATCTAAAAATATTTAATTCAAGTTTTATGGAATTTTAGAGATATTTCAAAACAAATTAAGCTTGAATTTTGTTTTTCCCAATTTTGGATTTAGACCTTAGTCCATTCTTGCTTCACTGTTATTTTTTTTTATATGACTGCTTTTATTGTCACTTGTCTCCTGCCTCCATTACTGTATCTTATTAATAAAGAATACTTTATAATACAGTGTCTTGGCTCTTTTCCTTTCTGGGAATGGGGAAGATAATTTATTTACTCTCTTTAAAAAGAACATTTGTTTTTTCAAGTGATGATGCTGATGAGGAGAATAACCACAGCTAATCCTAATTATTTACTAGTCTAGGTATTTATATGTACTATGTCTCATTTGATCTTAATGACAATCCTGAGGTATAGATACTATTATTACCCCTGTTTTACAGATGAGGAAACTAAAAACACAGAAATGAAGTTTTGCCTAAAGTGGTAGAGCTAGTAAGTTGTAGGGCCAAGACTGGAACCCAAGTCAACTTATAGACTTTTCTATATTAGGGTACATCTTAGAAGTTAACACTGCCTTCCTCCTCCCTCCCACAGGGTGATAAAGTCAGATCAATTTTCTGTTTCTATCCTCTCTGCAGTTAAGATGTAATTACATATACTAAACTGCTTCAGGGCCCTGGCTGGGTAGCTCAGTTAGAGCATCCTCCTGATGTGCCAAGGTTGTAGATTCAATCCCTAGTCAGGACACAAATAAGAATTGATCAATGAATGCTTAAATAAGTGGAAAAACAAATCAGGTATTTCTTTCCTTCTCAAGTCAATAAATAAAAATTAAAAATAAAATAAACTGCTTTAGTTATCTCTTCTGTGTTTTAAGAGTTGAACAGATGGATCTGTTACCTAGGATCCATTAGCTTTTCTCCCATTACCCTTTGCCCCAGGCAGCGGTATCTGCAGGGAATAAAAACATTTTTATATTAAAGCCAATTAAAATTTAAAGAGTACATTTGCCACTCTTGTTACCTAATGTATTGTAAAACAAAACATTAGTTTGGATTATAGAAAGCAGTGATTATGAGCACTGCTGGGGTCTGATTTTTGTTTTGGAATTACAATTCTACCAGCTATGTGACTTTGAGCAAATTATTTAATCCATTTCCTCATATACTTATCACATGGGATTACTGGATAAAATATATCCACGCACTTAGCACATGTTACCTATTTAAATGCCTTTGGATGCCAGTTATAGAAAATATCACATCAAATAGACTTAACAGAATAAGAAAATTTATTATCTAACATGACAGGAAGTTCAGAAATAGGGCAAATTTTCAGGGCTGGTTGATTCTGTGGATCAAGAATGTCATCATCTGGCTCAAATTCTTTCCATCTTCCACTCAGCCATCCTCTTCAGGGGTGTCCAACCAGTGACCGCAGGTGGCATGTAGCCCAGGATGGCTATAAACGTGGCCCAACACAAAGTCGTAAATTCACTTAAAACATTATGAGGTTTTTTTGTGTGTGATTATGTGTCACAATGTATTTAACGTGTGGCCCAAGACAATTCTTCTTCCACCAGTGTGGCACAGAGACACCAAAAGACTGGACACCCCTGTGTATTGGCTTTGTCCATGGGCTGGCTCCCCTCAGGGTTCAAGATGGCTACAGAATTCCAGACATTCAGACATAAGTCCATTCAGAGACAGAAAGAGACCATCTTTTTTAGTGTCTCTTTAATAGTAAAGAATGTTTTCCCAGAAGCTCTCCGACAGACCTCCTTTCTACCTCCCAATGGCCAGAATTCCCACTTTAAAACCAATTACAAAAACAAAACAAACAAATTACAGCCAAAAGGGATTAGGATTTACCCTGAGGCACATAGAAGTAAGTAGACACTAGAACAAGATTAAGGTTCTATAGTATGGAAGAAGGAAATTGATGTTGGTTAGATCACCAGCAACATCTACTACAAAGTGAAAGTAATGTAAGCAATTATTATTCTCTTGCCACTATTCCTCTTTGATTAACCCCCAAAATCGAGAACTTAATGGACGCTCATTAATATTCCAGTAGAATCTCCATTCTTCAGAATAACAATTTTTATTTGATCTTAGCCATGAGAGGAGAGTGTTGACCACATTCTTTGTTTTCAGCCTTTTTTCTTTAAAATTCCTGAATCTGACAGTATATCATACTGTCTTTTGACAAATCATTTAACCTCTGTGGGTCTGAGTTTCCTCATTTGTAAAATAAGTAGGTTGAATTAAATTAACTCTAATTCCTTTCCAACTATATCCTAATGTTCCTATTCCTCATCAAGTATTCTGTGGTTAAGGGTTTATTGAATAAAACCATGTTCAGTGTATGAGTGCCATCTGAGTTAACTTCCCAACTGGTGGGTCATGCCACTCTAGTGTACTCCAGATAGGTTGCAGATGTGCCCTGATATTGAACCCCTCAGCTCTTAGGGGACTGAGCAAGGCCTGGGACTGATGGATTCCTATGCCCCACAGCATCTGCTGGCAGGCTGCTCTGCCAACAGCCTCCTCTGTATATCCTAGTTAGCTGTACAGATATGATGGTTATTGTTAGGTGCCATATCATGAAATTTTTTAGATACTGAATTAAAGTGTCATATTGAACAATTAGAGGCAAAAATGAAAATGGTTGCTTACATCAGTGCTCTAAATCCTAATAATGAAGATTACCTTTTTTCCTTCTGCCCTCTAGTTTTTCATTCATAAATCCAAATTTTGTGATCTTTGCTTCACCACTACTTTCTTACCACGAGGCATGGTGGTTTCTCCTGAGCCACAAAATAATACAGGTTGATCTTGAGTAGTTCTGACTTCTTGTTGATTCTAACACAATTAAAATAACAATAATTTCCTAGCACTTATGGTGTTTTTACTAAGTGTCTGGCATTATTTTAAGTTGTGATACATACACAGTAAAACCCCATTATAAAGTACCCCACAATTAACTGAATTTGGGTATAACTTGATTGGCTCCTGAACTCCACCTAGCTTCCTTTCTCGAAGAGAACAGAATAAAAGTTTTTGTCTTGCGGGGTAGGGTTGTGTGGTATGGAATTGGCTAGAAAAAGCAGGCAATTTCTTAGGAAGCAGGAGGAGAGATTTAGGTCCCTGTGTACCCAATAGTTTCCAGGCCTTATTTTCCTAGATCAGTTTGACAAGAGGGTCACCAACAAACTTGATACCCTTATTAGTTATCACCAATACCCTTATTTTGGAAGTCCCAGCCAGCCCCAGGACCTGGAATTATCCTCAATAATATTAAATTACCACCAAATAGCACCAAACAACAACCAATACCAGTATGGATTTAGATTGTGTAATTGAACACCAGGTCCAGTATAATTATGTACCCACATTTTATATAATTGGCGTTTTAAATCATATTTACTACTCTTTAAATTAAAAAATTTTAACTTATTCTCAAAACAAGCCTATAAGGTAGATCTATGATTATTTCCATTTTATAGATAAGGAAACTAAGGAAAAGAAGGTTAAATGACTTCAACAAGGCCACAAGACTATTAAGTCCATGCTCTTAACTTCTATATTGCATTGTTTTTTTTGTAGACACTATGCTTGCAGATCAATGTATCTTAATTCTAGCCCTAAAGGCTCATATCATCAATAGAAGACACATGGGGCAAATGTTTAGGATGCCAAACTGTTACCCAGAATGTGCCATGCTTATGGCTCCTTCTGTCTCCCTTTAAGATGCGTTTGCCCAACTGCCCTCTAGTCTAGTCCAATCCCACATGCTGAACTCAACTCTTATTTTGACTACTTCAGAGCTCTTCTGTATGTCTCAGTGTTCTCTCTTGTAAAAACAGGGAAAATCAGATTGACCTTTTTCTGTCACCTCAGTTAAAATGTGTGATAACTTTGGAGTCCTCTAGGTCTGTGCTGGCCAGAATAGCCACTAGCCACATACAGTTATTGAGCACTTGAAACGTGGCTACTGTAAATTGAGGTGTGCTATAAGCATGTGATAACAGATTCTGAAAACTTAGTACTAGAAAAATAGTTCGTGAATAATTTTATACCATTTACATTTGAAATATTTTGTATGTATTAGGTTAAAATAATGCTATTGAAATTAATATATATTAATTATATTTCTATTGGACAGTGCTGCTCAAGGTGGTAATTCTAACTGAAAATCTTTATCTGTTCCTGTTACCAGGGCAATAGGGAGGAAGCTGACAATCCAAATACAGGGATTGGTGCCTTCCGATTCATGTTGGAATCCAACAAGGGCAAGTCAATGTTGGAGTTCCAGGTACTACTATCCCATTTACTTCCCTGGCTCTAATAGCATGGGTCAGCGCGCGCACGTGCGCGTGTGTGGGTGCATGCACGCCTTTTACTAATCCTTAACACATTGAATTATCATGGAAAAGAAATGAGTGCAGGAGGTTAGAATATTTTTCAAAATAAACTTTCCTATTCCCGAGGGCATATCAGGATTGGTATAAGAGATACTTCCACAAACACATGTAAAAGATTACCCATGTAATTCTGAGGCAACCTCCCAATATAAAATCACTGTCCTGGCACTTTATATTTTCTTCCTCCAGGAGCTAATGACAGTTTTTCAACTGTTGCACTGGAATGGCAGCCTTAAGGCCATGAGAGAAAGACAGTGCTCTCGACAGGTAAGAGATCCTGTGGGTGAGGGAAGTCTGGTAGAGGGACTATTTTGATATGGCTGTTGTGTTGGAAATCATCAGGCCTATGGATACCAGCCTGTGAGTATTGAAAGCCTTAAAGTGCCCTTTTCTCTCCTATTGCCTTTCATGTTTAAATCTTAGCTGTGATTCTTTTGCCTGCCTTGCTTTCCCCACCAGTAAATTTCCCTTAATCTTCTTAGAGGACTTAAAGTGCTGACTTCAGTTAGGACTCTAAAGCTGAGTTCCTAGTCCCAGTTGGGTCTAAGTGGTATGAACCTTTACCTTGTCGGTGACCTTCACATTCCTCTCCCCCTCTAGGAAGTGTTGGCTCACTATTCACACCGGGCCCTGGATGATGATATTCGCCACCAAATGGCACTGGACTGGGTGAGCCGGGAGCAGAGTGTGCCAGGGGCACTGTCTAGAGAGCTGGCCTCTACTGAGCGGGAGCTGGATGAAGCCCGGCTGGCAGGCAAGGAGCTGCGCTTCCACAAAGAGAAGAAGGATATTCTCATGCTGGCTGCTGGACAGCTGGGCAATATGCATTCTTCCAACTGCTAGGCATCCACTGATGTGTTTCCCATCCTCTCCAGGCCTCTTTTTATATGTTCTTTCTAAGATTTACTATGATTTCTGTACATACTTTATCAATTTTATACTTTAAAATATAGGTATATATGTATAAATTCTACACCTGGACTCTTTTTTGCCAAGAGATCCCTTTTCTTCTAGTTTCTGAACGTAGTTCTCTTTGAAACATCTCCACTCCACTTTACAAGAGGAGCAGGCTGTCTTGAGGTTTGTTGGCTTCACATTTGCAGTAACTCTGTATAATCATGTCAGTAGCACAGGATGATTACGTGTTCGTGTCTCCTTTCTTTTAAAATAACAGGGAGCTTGAGTAAGGACTATGTTCCTCCCTTACCTACCCCAATTCCTTTTTTCTCTGAGACTGGAACAGGTTATAAATATGAAACCTTCGGCTTTGGTTTATCTTGACCTGGGCCTACTTGGTACCAAGTTGTTCCTCCAGTAACAATATTTCCTAACCTACACCACCCCTCCTCATCACTGCCTTACTCCCCTCTCTCATTCCGAATAGTACTAGGTAGGAAGTGGAGATCTGGTTTCTCATTTTTGAGGTCATCCCTGAGAAAGTGTCCAGAAACAAGAAGGGAATTATAAACACAATTCACAAGGCTTTTTCACCTAAATTGCTTCTGGGACATAGATACCATACTGTAGTCCAAATTTCACTACAGAAGGGATCAGTGTTGAAGTTGCTTATCTTTCAGTATTCCCTTTTCATTCCTGTTCCCTTGCTCCCCTAGCTTAGTTAGGCCCTGTATTTAGACCATCTTGTCTGCAAAGAAAGTAAAAGGTATTTTTCTCTCTTCTCTCTCCTCCCATCATTTTGCTCTTTGGAAAACTTATCAGTCCTATTTGGTGAGGGCCATTTTCCTTCTCTCACTGCCACAAATTTGTTGCCGTGTACTACCTTACATGTACATACCTTAGATTCACATTTGTTTTCTCTTTTTTTACTCTTTCTTCACATTGATTATTAGAGCATGAATTGATCAGGTAAATTAGATGAGACTTTGGCATTACGGCACTTCCTAATTGGAACCCTGGGAAGGGAAGGGAAAGAGAATCAATTATCAACTATTTGTGTTTTTAATAATGTTCTCTTCCTCCACCTCTCTCCTGGGTGGAACAGGAGAGAAAAGATCTGGAGTACAGATAAAGCATTCACCTTCAGGATACCTTTCTGTAGGTCTAAGATATGTTTTACCCTTGTTTCTGTAGTCTCCTTTATACAATATTATAGCTCAGTGCACTTTAAATTGAGCTTGGGAAGTTCAATGTTTCTAAAATTACTTCCCATTTAACAATTATACACTTTACTTTCAGAAATAGGTTAGGAAACAGGCCACAATTTCTTTTGGATCAGACAGGGGCAAGATGAAAGTCAACTTTTTTTCTTTTGAAGGCATCTTAGTGACCAGTACATATGGGATTAAAAGTAAGGAATCTAGCAACAAATGTGTCTGCTTGAAAGGGACTTCCTTGAATTCTCCAAGCCCCTTCTCTGTATTCCATGACATACATGTAGGGTTGGAGCAGAGGCTCCTAAACAATAGGTGTGTCTATTTAGTTTTTATTGATATTCCTAATTCAGAAATCATAAATCCTCATTTCTCTTATGCGCCTTTCTCTGAGAGGTGTTATGTGGTGTGAGTTGTGGGAAGAATTTGTCTTTGCACCTCCTGGATTTACTATTTTTCTCAAATACCAACCAGCAAGATCCCAAAGAACTTGAGAAAAATTGTTCCCTGATCTGTACACTTTTGGTGCTAACGATTTTACTTATGTTTAGTACTTTCTATGTGTTTTATCTGTATAATTTTATACAATTAAAAGTAGATTTTTTTTCTAATGTGCCAGATTGACTCTTTGAGACTTTTATATCAGGGGAGCTATAAAATGACCCTTCTTTTACATATATAATAAAAAATAATTTTTATTAGTATTTTTGGTAGAGATAAGATTGTACTGCTGGGGCAAAGCGTTCTGCCTCACCTTTTCTATACATTTGAGAAGTCTGGATTTTGTCCTTAGTTCTTTCTCTTCAAGTTCTACCTAGTCCCACATGTAACCTCACCCACTATGGTGGTCTAAACTCCATCATACACACGATTCTCAAATATATTTCTTCTACCCTAACCTGTTTTGAGCTTTGCATCTCTATTTCCATATTGTTGGACATCATCGCCTCAAAACAACACAAGTTCTTTGAACTCACATATCTAAGATAAAACCCCTTTCTCCATACATGCTCCTGTTTGATGCTGCAGATCTGGCTGAAATTGTCTACCCACATATCTAAGCTAGAACCTGAAATCTATCCTCAGCTCTTTCCTACCATCATCTAATCTGCCACTTACTATCGAGTTTACCTCCTATATAAACTCTCTAGTCTATTTTGTCAACATTTACTGCCTTTGTTCAATCCTTTTCATCTCTGGCCTGGACGACTGCAATAGCTTCCTAACTGGTCTGCTTCATTCTTGATATTCTCCCCACCACTGTTATGTATGTTTCATTCTAAAATACTTAATGACTATACAGCTCCTTTGCTTAAAACCATCAGTTAGCTATCTTCACCTTTAGCAGCACTTCCCAAAGTTTTATATGTGAACCTTTGGTAGTGCCTGTGATGATTTTGGATAGTAGATTGGCAAATATTTTTCATTTTTACTCATTGTATTTTTATCTGAATGAGTGCAAAAATATAGGTTTTATATTATGGCAGTGATATTAAATTTAGTATGTATTTGTTTAAAAAGTCAGCCTATTAAGAAAAGTGCTAATAAAAATAGTATGGGGGCTATTTGCAAATATTAAAAATCATGAATACTCAAATACTTGATGAAAAGAAGTTTCTTGTCTACAAGATCATCAGCATGACATACAATTTGGCCCTAAGATGAATTTCCAGCTTTATTTCCTAAGCCACATAGCATCAGGCATACAGAATTTCTTGTCATTCTGATAATCAATCAGTAAGTATATACCAGATGCCTACTGTGAGCCAGGCACTGGTCAAAACTTTGCAGAAACAGTTGTAAATACAAGTCTTTGCCATAACAATTACATCGCAATGGGGAAAACAGACATTAAACAAGTTAGGAAGTAAATAAGCTGATTAAATGTTCCAATTTAAGTTTTGTGAAGGAGTAAACAGAGTGCAAGATATGAGGGTAGAGAAGACCCTTTTGGGTGACAGTAGTATTTTAGGGAGACCTAAAGTATGGGGTTGAACTGGCCATGTGAATAGCTGGAGTTAAGAGCATCAGAGCACAAAGACGTGTAAGTCCTGAGATGGGAAAGAGCACATACAATACAACATAGTGGAGGGAAAGCATAGGGAGAGCTTGAGCTTAACCAGTGAGAGAGAAGAGTGGTGGAAGAGGTTGTACACATATGCAGGCAAGCTGTGTGAATTTTAACTTTATTCAAAGGGCCAAAATACGGCAAAAAAGGGAGGTGACTAATTGATTCTTTAAAAGATCATGTCCCTCACTGTGGAGACACCTCAGTGGAGGTCCCTCACCTCCTAGCCTCAACACAACTGCTTTGCCTACAGATCTACCCAGCCTTAAAAGCCCATTTTAAATAGACGCCCTCCCTTAAATGGACTCTTCTATACCCATTCCTATTAAAAACTTGTTTTGTACAACCATACTGCTTTGTGATAGAATTACCACTTTCACATATAAAGTGACTGTTGATAATACGATTATTTTTGCTTGTATTGCCAGCACCTCCTCTAGTATAAGACATATTAACATTTAAAATTGTTTGATTAAAAAAATTAGCCCTGGCTGATGTTGCTCAGTGGACTGAGGACTAGCCTGTGAACCAAAGGGTCACTGGTTCAATTCTCAGTCAGGGCACGTGCCTGGGTTGTGGGCCAGGTCCTTTTGGCGGGGAGGGAGGGTAGGCATGCAAGAGGCAAAGACACATTGATGTTTATCTCCCTCTTTCTCCCTCCCTTCCTCTCTAAATCAATAAAACCTTTAAAAAAAATAAAAATAAAAAAATTAGTAAGTGAATCTGCAGCCTACTATTGTTTATAACGCCTACATTGGGATTCCAGGATTTGGGGGCAATATTGGTTTTGCCTCAGCTTCTAGGTTTTTAAACGTGAAATACCTGCAACATCCTCTAAGAAGCTTAAGCCCCGGTTTCTTTTAAAACCATGGGCTTTTTTTAATTCCCAGAAGTGGTGGGAAGTCTTTGAGAGTTTAAATTTTTTTTTTTAACTGTGGTGTCTGTGTCTCCAAAAGAATTTCACAGACAAGGTCTATTTGTTTTTATAAAAGTGAAATTCGCTGCTTCAGTATGTACCAGAAGCAGCTTTTTGAGCGACACTGCTAACTTTTTTTTTTTTTAATGCTTACATCACAGATCCAGCTGTTCCTCGAAACAAGGTACAGGCCTGGAAGTTTTCAAAGAAAAAAGCTTTCTTCAACTTCCACTTTCTAGTACGGGGTGAAAAGAGAGGAGAACTCTCTACTAAACAAATCAGGCTGGGCTTCCCTGTCAGGATTTCTCCTCGGTTAACCTAAACAAAAAGAAGCGAATGACTTCGCCTAGCCCTACCGTGACGCTCACAGGGAGGCTGCTTTCAGATCACGATCTGCTCAAGATGGCTACAGGAACACTTCCGGCTCTTCCCGAACTAGACCCGCCTCCATGCGCGTGTATTTCTCCGCGCCGAGGGCGGGACTTAAAATGAGCTTCCGACAATTTGTCGCGGTGCTTCGTTGCTGAGCGGCCCTGACGAGACTTACGACGAAGGCAAGATGGCGGACGTGCTGGATCTTCATGAGGCTGGGGGCGAGGATTTCGCCATGGACGAGGATGGGGACGGTGAGGACAGTGGAGGCAGCTGCGGGAAGGTGCGAGAGAAGAGTGTAATAGGGGAAACAATTTCTCTTCCTAACGGCAGTGAGGATGGGAGCCGAGGAACCGGGATTCAGTTGGACTGAAGACTCCGCCCCCGTTCGGAGGCATGTGGGCAGGGCCAGGAAGGGACTGGGACTAGAGGTGGTGGGGTTAGCTGTCAGGTATTGTCTTGGGAAGGAGACTAGTGTTTTAAATGTTATCTTTGTTACTTATTCTTTCGCCTATGGGGTTACAGAGAGCATCCATAAACTGAAAGAAAAAGCCAAGAAGCGGAAGGGCCGCGGCTTTGGCTCCGGTGAGTATGGAGAAAATGAGGTTTGTAACGGCTGAACTACGAGTTTTGGAGTCACCGTTCAGATTCATGGTGAACAGTGAGAGAAGGGGGATTTCCGTTGATCTCGTGTATGTTTCCTAGAAGAGGGGTCTCGAGCACGGATGCGTGAGGATTATGACAGCGTGGAGCAGGATGGAGATGAACCCGGACCACAACGCTGTAAGTAAAATGGAACCTGTACGTATCTGTGTCTGTAGAGAATTAGAGACTAGCAAAATAAAAGCCAGTAGGAAAGGGGTCAGGGATCCTACTAGTCTCTAGTCGTATAGTCGTATAGAGACTGGTAGTCTCTAGTCTACCAATACTAGTCGTACTGGGATCCCCACTCACTCTGCTCCTGTGATCTTGCTTCAAGTTTTTCTCTCATGTAGTCAAACAACCTTCCTCCCTTCCCTAATAGCTGTTGAAGGCTGGATTCTCTTTGTTACTGGAGTACATGAGGAAGCCACGGAAGAAGACATCCATGACAAATTTGCAGAGTATGGGGAAATAAAAAACATCCACCTCAACCTGGACAGGCGTACAGGATACCTGAAGGTATCCTAAGTTATACTCCATTGCCTCTTTTCCCCCGTAACCCTTAGCATTGGTAGAGCTCCCATGTTTGCAATGGTTGGCTAAGAGCGAAGTTGAAATAAAAATGGTACTGGAAATTGATTTTGTTAGATACAGCAAAAACAGAATCAGACAAACATGTATATATATAGTAGGGATATACGATGTACATCCATTGTTTAAAGTGGATATATTTTCCTATTTAAGTAGAAAATAGCTTGGTGGAGCAGGAGGGTTTTGATGTGTCTTTTTTTTGCCCTAGGGGTATACTCTAGTTGAGTATGAAACATACAAGGAGGCCCAGGCTGCTATGGAGGGACTCAATGGCCAGGATTTGATGGGACAGCCGATCAGTGTGGACTGGTGTTTTGTTCGGGGTCCACCCAAGGGCAAGAGGAGGTAAAGTGGAGTGGGCAGACACTGTCTTGGTGAAGGGACTATAGTAATACAGAAAAAGAACATTGTATTCTGTCCTTTTCATGGACTTCCCTCCCCTTTTTCCCTAGAGGTGGCCGAAGACGCAGCAGGAGTCCAGACCGGAGGCGCCGCTGACAGGTCCTCTGTTGTCCAGGTGTTCTCTCCAGAGATTCCACTGGACCATGCAGCCTTGGAGAAATAGGGTTGGGTGGGACTCACTGTTTATAATTATTCTCTTACCCTATTGCTTAGTGGGTTTGTTTTTGTTTTATTTTTTTTTTTGAGTTATGAATAAATGTCCCATTGTTTTCTACATTTAAAATTCCTTTTCTGCTCTAACATTACAAGCTCTGAAGTACTATTTACAGTAAGGCAGTATGGGTTACTGTGAAAATCTCCCAGCAACTGAATTCTGTCTGAGTGTCTACATTAGACATAGTCTCAAGTCTCAGAGAGTCAAAGTAGAAACACTGCATGGTATTTATTTTTCTTGGAAGCTAAGAGAGCAGGAGTAGAAGTGAGATGATTTCAGGATATTAAAGAATAATTATTCTGTTCCTATGTACACTCTCTCCTGAGAAGATGGATGTTATAGGAATGTTTATTTTGTCTCTCCTGCCCGTGCTGCCACGTTTGTACCTCCAGCTGTCTTAAGGGCTTAGGTCTCCTATCAGGGCATTCTCCCAGATCCACCTTCCCTGAGGGAATCTGTGCCAAGTTCTTGGTGCCCACTTCAGGAGCCAAGGGTGACGGTCCCTTGTAGATTAGGGAGAGGAACATTGATGAGGCCAAAGAGGTAAAGCGTGTGGCTGAGGCTGGGAGGGACTTCAGTTAGCATGGTGGGAGAGAACCAGTACCAGAGACCAAGCAGGTATTAAGGTATCTAGCAGAGGATGGAGGTCAGCAGGACAAACAACCAGTTGGCAAACAAACATGGGGGGCAATTGTCTAAGGAGTGACAGAGGACAAATTCACCAGCAGGAGCTGGGAACTTAAAAAATACACTGAAATTCAGAATCATTCAGCTCCTGGCCTGAGTATAGGGTAAATTGATAAGTGGGCAGTGAGGTGGAACTCTCCTACAAGCAAGACAATGCTGCAAACCTACTTCTTCCTAGTTTAGGACTATGTATGTTCCCTTCCTCCCCCCGCCCCTGCCCCGCCCCCAGGAATTATGACAAACATGCTGGAGAAAAGGTTTGCTTGACGTACTGTGTTATATGAAGCTACTAAATCTACTTTAAGATTTCATAGTGTCCCAAGAGTAAAGGAGAAGACTAATCACCTTTCTCCTTAATCCTTTCCCAGCTAACACAAATTCGGGCAAGAAAACTGTGCAGCATCAGGTACTAGAAATACAGTTAGGGTTTTACTTTGATAAGTAGCTATCAGATAAATCAGTCAGGCTAGAGGCTAGTTTTAGGGTATGGATTAGGGTCTGGGGGTTGAAGACTCACCCTCCTTGTTAGGAGACTAGACATACTGAAGACAGTGCAGCTATAGCAGATGGTGATGGCAGTCAGTGTCAGTAGAATGGGCAGCAGAAGGTGAAGAGGTTACAGGTGGTCTTTTGCTATTGAGCCTTGAAGCTACCTTTAGTGACACACTAAGTGAAGGGGTCTGGGCCAGCTTGGCTGGTGGTATGCTGGAGGAGGGTTGAGAACTATTAAAACTGGTCCTCTTCCACCTCCCCGCAACCTACCCACCAGTGTCACACTCTCTCTTCCTAGTTCATCCTTGAATCTATGAAGAACAGTGCAGTGCTGAGTTAATGGTTTAACTATGGTGCTAATATTAAAAAGGTTAGAAATGTATCTTGAAAATCCCCTGTATTTTCTTTAGGCTATGGGGCTAATCATTAAGTTTGTTAAATCCTGGGACTTAAAGAATCCTGCCTTTTCAGGAACTACTCTAAATATTACACTTTACAGAAAGTGAACAAGCTTAAAAATCAGTCACAGTGGCCGAACCAGGATTTAGAACCAAAGTTTGCCTCCAAAGCCAACTCTCATACTATCCTGCTTTATTTCACAATTAATCCTTGCACATGGTCTATAAAGTAGACTTTGAATTCCACGAAGATAGGGACTGAGTATCTGTCTTAATCGCCACTGCATCTAGTGATCAACAAATATTTGTTGGATGAATTAATGGAACATACGAGGTCTAGAGAGATTAAGCAATTTATCCAGGATCACACAGCCACTATTTAACAGGGCCAGGTTCTCTGATTCCAGATCTTACACACTACAAACTAAGATCCCACAGTATACTCAGTTATGTGTGTATCTTGGGCAGAGATTTGGGGATGAAGGGTATATAGGACAAATAGGTGAAATAACTGTTTTTTTGTTTTGTATAAACACTAAGATTCTACATGAGTGAAAGTAAAGCTAAACATTGTACTTTATAAAAGGATATCTCTTCCACCTCATCAACATTTTAGATGAAATGATTTTCCCGATATGTCTGTGAATTTTGTGGGAAAAAATCATGTGTAAAATGGGTGCTGCTAAAACTTTAGGGCATTTCGTAGCCTCTCTGGAGTGACCTTTAGTAATAAGTAATCTTGTGTACAATACAATATAATGATGAAACAATGTTAAATAATTTAACATTTTCCAAATGCTATTTTAGGCCCCTCCCCTTTTCAGTAAATGGCTGAGTTTTTGGTTTGAATCAGTAAAGAGAAGTTTTCAGGTTTGAGCTTCAGAGTTACTACCTTCATTCAGGTCAGGTAGATTGAGTCTCTATTAGCTTGATAAAAGGCAGGCTCTGTAAGATTCCTAGGTATAAGGCATTTGGAAAAGTGATTTCAGCAGGCATGAGGGACTTTTAGGAAAGGTAGTATCAGCCATAGACATAAAATTTTATGAAATGGAGTTATGACCAGGCTATGCTGAGCTTGTTGGACATTGATGTTTCCTCTTCCCCTATCCTGAGTCCCTATATTTCTGGGGTTTGAGGGTTTTTTGGGGGGGGTTTACACTGCCTAGAAATACTTTATACTGTGAGAAGTATAAAAATAGGTCAGGCTTAAGTTGGATCCATTGCTTTACCTCTGCTTCCCCTTCCTCTATTTTATATGCAATTTACCACCTAAAAACCTTCTTTTCAACTACTTCTGATACTTGGAAACTTGAGCTTACAAAATAATTCCTAACTAGTTCAATACTCTGTCATCACACTAACACCATACTTAAAAATTTTTTTGACTCTGCTATTTGGAATACAATGTATAGGCAATGCAGAATTATATAAAAGGATGCTAATTTGGAACCAAAAATAACACCATTTGGACATGTATCATAATGTTACTACTAGGGTGCCGATGAAGTAAGTGAAGATTGCATCTATTAATCAGGTTGTCAGGCTCAAAGAATGAAATTCATCTGTATCATGTTGTGGCCCATGGACTTCAAGTGATTTAACCAAAGTAACGTAGCTAGTTAGTGTGAGCCTAGGCTCAGAAAAAACAAAGTAAAACAAGCAAACAGTGCAACAGAAACAGGTTTCTCACTCTAAGTTCACACCTAAAATTTGCTTCTTGTAAACAAACCCAATTGTAATTATGTTTACACTGAGGCAACAAGCTGCTTTTTAAGTCTTGGGGTAGCAGAGATCCTATATGCAACATACTATTAGAAGACATATATACATAAAAGGTCTGTCCAGAAAAAAATACAGCCATGGTTAATATAACAAGAATGGTTTGTGTGACATTGATGTAACCTGGGAGCCAAGGAGAGTGGACTGGAATGTGCATGTGTGAACAATGATGACTTCACTGTACTAGTCGTGACTAGTACACTAGTCATGTTGGATGAGCATGTCTACTGTGTGGCCATCATATTCAAAATGACAGCAAGGAGAACAACAAATCTGCATCAAATTTTTCATTAAGCTTTAACATTCCTTCACAGAAATTACTCAGATGATTCAGAAGGCTGCAGCTATGGGCAACTGTTGGCAACTGTCCCGCCTGGTTTCAGGAAGTGTAGTCTTGTCGACAGGCGAGAGAGCCCCAACTAAATGAAGCCTTGGCAAAATAGGCCACCGAGGAGACAAAAGCTGTCCCCCTGGTAGGGGCACAGCCCCTGCCTCCCTCACCTCACCCAGCTTGGTCCCGGAGGATGACTGGTTAGTCAATGACAGGTAAGACCCCTTGATGGCAGGGGCAACCTAAGATAGGCACAGTCGCATAGGGGCCATCAGGGAAGGACTTGAGGGACAGTGAGGCAAAAGACCCTGACCCCTTGGCTTTGTTATCACCAGAGGAGTCCTCATTCTGTCTGAAAGAAGTCTCCTTATCTCTTGGCTGCTCTGCTCCGCCCGCCTGGCTCAGGCTTGAAACAATACTAGAGGCAGCCCTAAACTGGATCAGGCAGTTCCCAGGGGAAATCTGGCCTAGAAGTAAATTCCTTGAAGCATGCTTTGTTTTTCCCTCAAAGCTATTATAACTGGCTCACGCTGGGAAGGAAATTTACATTATTCACAAACCCTGAACCTAAACCATTTGGCACTCTTATGCTTACGTGTCTCGGACCCATGCATATTGGTGTGTTCCTGCCCTTTGTCTTCAAACATCCCCTACACTCTAAACATTAACGTACTGATGTAATGAGATTACCACCTAGCCCCCACGAATAACCCTTTTAAAAAAAGCCATTGGACATGGGGGCTTGGGGCGTTCTCCACTAGAGGGAATTGCCACCCCCTTTCCCTGGCAGACGGAGAAGTGTCTGGAACGACTTACTTCCAACCGTGGCAACCAGAGCAGCTCTGTGGTACAGGGCTCCTCCCCCTCAGGCAACTGGTGATTGGCACCTTCACAACAACATGCCTGCTCATGCATCACGTGTCATGCAGAGTTGTTTGGCAAAACATCAAATCAACCAGGTGACTCAGCCACCACTACAGCCTAGATTTGGCACCCTGCGACTTCCGGCTTTTCCCAAAACTAAAATTGCCTTTGGAAGAGTCAGGAAAGTACAACAGGGTAACTGATGGCAATTGGGAGAACTGTGTGACTTCCCAAGGTGCTTACTTTGAAGGGAACTGAGGTGTCATTGTCCCATGTACAATGTTTCTTTTATCTTGTAAATTCTTCAATAAATGTCTATTTTTCATATTACATTTGCTGGCTACCTTCTGGACAGACCTTGTATAGTCTTAGAACTATAGTCAGATTAACTTTTGGTATTTATATATCTAGTATTTGAGGGATTAAGGATGAAATCTTTGACTCTATAATGCATTATCATTTGAGAGATTGAAAGTTTAGCCCCATTCTCCTA